ACAAAAATTCTTGGCCAAGTGGGTATAAAGAAATGTACATCAACATAATGAAGGTCCTATAAGACAAGGCCACAGCTAACATGACATTCAGTGAAAATCTGAAAACCTAAACAGGAATAGTATTGCTTTACTTTTAATGTAACTGCAGTGCAGTGGTTTTATTTACATGAGGATCACCACCAACACCATGAGTAATGATTTATACTATGACATCATGGCAATGATGACATCACTAAGTGAGGAGTTGTTCAGCTCCATTCTAATGTTATGGGACCCCCCAAAACAGGGGTGGTCAGTTGTTAAGTGAACTGTTGTGATATGGCACATGACTATATACAGAATACTTCCAAGATGCCACCCCTAAAAAAAGCACAAAGCTTTTTTTCTTTTTTTTTTTAAGAATAATCTCAGTTTAGTTCCAGAATACAAAATTAATATACATAAACCAGTTCTGTTTCTATATACCAACAATTTGAAAAGAACACACATAAATGGGAAGACACTCTGTGTTCATGGACTGGGAGAATAAATATTGTTAAAATATCCATACTACCCAAAGCGACCTACATTGTCGGTGCAATCTATCAAAATCCCCATGGCACTTTTCACAGAAACTGAAAAAGCAATCCTGAAATTTGTATGACACCTCAACAGAGGCATCACACTTCCTAATTGCAAACAATACTATAAAGCTACACTAATCAAAACAGCATGGTTTGCGCGCAAACACAGTCACAAGAGATCAACGCAACACAACAACACAGAAAGACCAGAAATAAACGCTCTGTGCATATGGCCAGGCAATTTTTCAGCTACGGAGCTGAAAATTCTTAATAGGGGGAGGGTAGTCTCTTCAATCAATGATGTTGGGAAACCTGGATGGCCACACTTAAAAAGAATGAAAATACATATATACATACATACATACATACATAAATAAAAAGAACCAGACTGGACTCCGATCTTGCACCAACGACAACAAGCAACTAGAGATCCTAATATTTAAGACTCCTAGGAGAAAACACAGGGAGTAAATTCCATGACTTTGATCTCAGCCATCATCTTTCGGATTTGACACCAAAAGAAAAAAAACAAAACAAACCAAAACAAGAAACAAAAAAAAGAAAAGAAAAACTAAACAAGTGAGACACTATCAAACTGAAACACATCTGCTCAGAAAAGGAGACCATAACCACATGGAAAAGGCAACCTATGGAATGAAAGGAAATAATTTGTTAACCACAAATATGATCAAGAGTTCACATTCAACGTATGCAAGGAACTCAACTCGAAAGGTAAAACCAACCAACCAACAAAACAAAAAAACAGACAAGGACCCAGGACCTAAATAGAACCCCCCCTTGCGCCCAAGACATACATATGGCCCCAAAGGACTTAAAAAAAAGTTACTCAACATCATCAATCGAGAGGCCAATTCAAGGGCACGATGAGGTACCATGTCACCCTTGTTGGGATGTCTATTATCAGAACGGCAGGAGGTACGTACTCAGTCACGAGTACGTTGAGAAATAACCCTTGTACAAAATCGGTGGGAATATACATGGGTACGACCACTGTGGAGAACAACACGAAGATACCTCAAGAACTGCCACACCATGCCACAATCCCCCTGGGCGGACAGCCACAGGAGAGGAAAGATCTCCAAGAGTTATCTGTACTACTACGACTACTGCTATGTTCATATACACATTATTTACAATCGTCAAGGAAGGTATAGGAAAAGGAAGGAATTCATTTGGGAGAAGATGAAATGGCCCAGGGCGTTATGTTAAGTGAAACAGGCCAGACAGGAGGAGGACAAACACAATGTGGTGTCATGGACATATGAAATATATATATACATATTTAAGTCAAACCAATAAAAAAAAACTACACACCTCATGTATCGATGGGAATGATAATATTGCTTCGTTATTGCTATGTAGTCTCTGATTACTTCTGACCCCTCTCATTCACTCTGACACTGACTTCTTTGAACCAATGGTCACAAAATGCTTACGTTCTGACATTCCAGCATCCAATATGACAATGGGGGGGAGGGGAGGGGAATGTCCCTGTCAACTAGGAGCTCTTATATATGTATTTTGGGAAAAGGTTGGGGGGAAAAGAAATCAACATGGGGAAATGTATGACTGATAATGATATAAAGACAACAGTGACGCGAGCAGACAAAGCCACGGCCTCCCCATTGCGTCACCTCCGCACACCCATCCCAAAGGGATCAAGTCAGAAGAAGTCCTAAATGGAGTCCCGACAATGGACAAGGAGGCAGAAGGAAAGCAAGCGGGGGGCACATCCCCTATTCACCAAAGCCCCCTGGCTGATTAGGGTCATTTTTAACCTCTTTCCTAACCTCCGTAAAATCAAGTCTTCTCGCCATCCCAGACCTGAGCGGGATGGGAAGGGCTCACGTTCAATCCCGACTCCTTTTCCGGGCCTCTCTCTTGGTGACAAAACGTGTGCTCTCCCATCTACCACTCATCCGTAGACTGATCTTCCCGGACTATCAATACGAGGACAGAAGCTGGTTCTTATAGACAACAGAGCTACCATCCCTCTGGGAACACATTCATCCTACTTAGCCTACAGACACACAAGGGGAGAATTCTTAAAAGTTGGAGTTTGAAGATAGTAAATCAACACAGTATTCTGGGGGAACGGGCGGGGTCTCATTGAAGTGACCCACATAGACTGCATGATTTTGTCCCTTCTCGTGATTGAAAGCCATGGACCAATGACTGTATTTTTGCAACGAAATGCCTTATCAAGAATGGGGTACCATCACCCCCTTACTCTTAAGAGGTAACTCTAAAAACGGAGGAATGAATGAGACAGAGAAAGGAAGTGTTTTCTAGGGAGAGAATGCACATCAAAAGAAAATGCTAGAAAGGAGATTGGGACTTAAGCCGGTGGTGCTCAGTGGATAGAGCGTCAGTCGGCCTGTGGACGGAAGGGGTCCCGGGTTTGATTCCAGTCAAGAGCACATATCTTGATTGCACGCTTCTCCCCCGCCCCGGGCCCTGGTTGAGGCGCGTGCAGGAGCAACCAATCGATGTGTTTCTCTCACATCGATATGTCTATCTTTTCCTCTCTCTTCCACTCTCTCTAAAAAAATCAATGGGAAAATATCCCCGGGCATGTATTAAAAAAATAATAATAATAAGTTGGAGGGAAAGTGAGAGAAAGAAAATACAACACAGCAGGAAAAAAAGTGTGTGCGTGGGGGGGGGGGTGTGGTTCTTCTGTATGATTCTTGGAACTCTAAATCTAGATTTCCAAACCAAAAAGTCAAAGAAATAAACAAGGGCATAAGGTATACGTAGAAGCATCCTATCTTGAAAAGGGCAATGGATTTTACCTCTGACAACCAGGATGAGTCTTGGGATGAGAGGAAAAAGATGGGCTGTTTTTTTTTGTTTTTTGGTTTTTTTTGTTAGTTGGTTAATGAATCACCTATCCCTATTGGGTCTATTTGATGTATGGCCATTTATTGTTTACAAAGTGGGCGTAACATTTTTCACCTATTAGATCGGCTAGTTAATTTCAATAATTCCAAGTCCTTATGAAAATTAGCACGGCCATCGCACCCAGGCTGGGTGCGGGAATAGAAAACATGTCAAGGGCAATTTCACAATATCTACGGAAAACCAAACGCATGCAGAACGAAGGGTACAACAGTGCCACGTCTAGAAGTCTGTTTTTTTTTTTTTTTTTTTACGAGAATCAGGAGCACGAGCGTGCTAATAAGAGATCTATAATTATATATATTACAAACGTGATATGCAGTGGCAAACACAATGAAGAAACACAGTTAACCGACGTGTCTCAAAAAGTAGAGGAATGGGTGAACCCATTAGGATACTATGCGCGACATCCAATAAAACGTCTATAGGGAAAGGAGAATGGATCGCTTTGAGAATATGTCCACTATTTACTTAAAAAAAAACACACAACAACAACAGTGGCCACACACAGGCCATCGCACGATGGCGTTATCTGAGAAATAACCCTAACATAAAAAATAAAAAAAATAATAACCCTAACATAAACGTGTAGAGACGCCGAGAGCAGAGACTGGCCACTCTGTTACAAATGGCTCATGACTGTCCACCCCTCAGAATGAGAAACAGGAGGTGGACGATGAGTGGCCACGGTGATGTTAACGTGGGCCCTAGAGACCCATGCCTTCTTTCTCGTTTGTTTGTTGTAACCCATCATTCTTAAGAGGCCCCCGTTTCCGTGGACGAGGTGTTAAAGCTGTTACTGAGATAAGTCGGGCGTTGCGGTTGGGTGTTCCCTTGACACAGGAGTGGACGTCCCAGAAACGAGACCAGGAAACAGAGTCTCGTGAAACTCCCACCATCTCCGTTCAACAGCCAGTGGAAAATCAAGGGCCGTGGAGACTGAGCCTTGGCGTGGCCGAGGGTGCCTTCGCACTGTGCGCGGGACCCCGAAGAAGACCGTTCCGGGGATACCGAGGAACTGGTCATATCTACGAGATGGTATCACCACGGTTCGCAATGCCAGGGCGGTGGTCTTGGCTCCCCCTTGAACACAGCACTTGGGGTGGTGGCACTCGGTCCACAGGCGGCGGGGGGAGGCGGGCATTGGGGAAGGGTTGGCCAACGTCAAGGCCTGGTCTACAAGGCTATGTGACCAGGCTCACTCATCAGGCAAAAAACACACGGATAGGAAGGGGGTCTCATTTGGGCCACCTCTAACAAAAACAAGCACAAAACACCAGACACTGTTCCAATGAGGAACAAAGGCTATCCCAAAGGGTACCAAGACGGCCCATGGGAGATAACACAGCTTGTGAGAAAGCCTAGAACTGATCATCATGGCGTAGGGGTGGGAGGGGTGGGGGGGTCACCCAGGTGGGGAGGGGTCTTACGGGTTACACAATTCAATTTCTCACCCCCGTTTCTAAAGAAAAACATTATCAATTTTTTCACACATCCCCCCTGCCCCCTCACCACCAAAATGCAACGAAGTCCAGAAGACAATAGAAGAAATCATATGACGGATATTCAGAGCAAAGAGAAGTACACCATAGAGTCCAGGCAATTACTTGCCAGCCAGCAGGTCAGTTCTAGAAAAGCTGTCCATGCCCTTGGGGAGACAGAGACGCAGCAAGCTTCTCGGAGGGGGAAACGAGGCGGCCTGTGGGTGATGCTGAAGGGTGGGGTCACTTCAGAAGGTGCCTGGGGTCCTGTTGTCCACATGCCCACCACCTGGGAAGAGGAGAGAGAGAGATGTCACAAGTGAAAACAAGCAGGGCTATCTTAGCCTAGAGGCCCGGGGCACGAATTCATACACCAAGGTGGGGGTCCCTTGGCCTGGCCTTCGCCCTCTTGCAATTCGGGGATCCTCAGGGGATGTCAGAGAGCCGGTTTAGGCCCGATCCCCGCAGGCCAGGCTGACAGAGCCCCAACAGTGCAGGAATCTATGCACCAGGCCTCTAATATGCACACAATGGGGGGGAAATCCAAGATGGCTGCACAGGTAAACACCCAGCCGCAGCCGCACACAACAATTTCAATTAAAATGCAACTAATATGCACACCATGTCTTTGGTTAATCTTCCCGCCCACCCCACACTCCCCTTCCCTCTGAGAATCATCAGTTCTGCCCCCTGGTGGCCACTGTGCATCATAGCAACTGGCCAAATAATTGCTCAGACATAATATATATAGGTAGCCATGTTTCCTACCACAGGGAGGTCACCTAGCAGTCCAGGATGTTACTGCTAGTCCCTGGAAAACAATGCCCAGGAGCCTGGTACTAAGTCTCTCCGAGCTGCAAAAACTTAGCTTGCTTCAGTGCACAAAAATGATAAAACCATGATTTTGTCTCTCACCCCCGCCCCACACACTTTCTGATCCTAATTATTTTCAGATCATTCAACCACAAATGCATTGCTGAAACCATTTCCTGTGTTCCTTATTCATAATTTGTATTTAAATTTAGGGTTAAACATAAAGTAAAACAGCCCAGCTGGCAGGCTTCAGTGGATTCGATGTCGACCCATGAATGAGGAAGTCAGGTCGCATGCCTGGTTTGTGGGCTTGATCCCCAGTAGGAGCCTGCAGGAGGCAGCTGATCAATCATTCTCTCTCATCACTGATGTTTCTATCTCTCTGCCCTCTCCCTTTCTCTAGGAAATCAATAAAATATATTTTTAAAGAATGATGAGGTACCATCGCACCAAGAAAATATTAATAATATCCGCTGCAAAGTATATACCATTTCACGGAAAAACTTTCAAAAAAAAATCTAAGCCCATTAGGGTAGTTCAGACAGTATCTATTTTCCCTGATTTCCTGAATACCTCCTGTACAATTTGATGGTTTTCACTTGGGAAAAAAAAAACTTGAAAAAAAAAAAAAAAACACACCAAAATACTCCTTGTATTTTGATTTCTAGTTTTACTCAGTCTTGTTGACTAATAAAAACCTGGGGTTAGACTATCACCTCAACATAATCACAATAGACCACACAATAGCTTGGTGGAAAACACAAATTGCCGTATCACATAACTCAGGACAGAATCTAACCCATCACCAACACAGCCAAGAGGGTATCTCAACATGAAAAGATAAGACTTCAATGGTCTTACCTGCAATCAAAGTCTCTTTGGTCCTCGCTCACGGAAGATGCTTGTGAGACAAAAAAAAAAAAAAAAAAAAAAAAAAAAAGAAAAAGGAAAAAAAAAGGAATGCTTGACAATGTTTGGACAATCTTCATGCACTCATCAAATGCAAGGGTCATAACTAACTCCCACCCACCAAGGCAATATTCTGGAACATTCCTCAACGTCTGCCTCCCCACTGCTGGCCATAGCTTGATGTATGCACCGAGAACTCAACTTTTGTCATGAAGGCCATACGAACTGCATCCGAGTCTACTTCCTCCTCGATTTGCTTTCTGGTATCTTTTTACCCAAACTTTGGCCTTCTCCCACACCTGCCTGACATCCTTCCTTCCCTTACTCCACCCATCCATCATTCAAAGGCTCATCCCAAAATATCTTAACATCTGAATGAATTTAAAATGGTCCGAGCATAAATTTAAAATTTATGGTCCCTGCCTAAAGAGGATCACATTATTATTTTTCTAATTTTAAGTTTTTTTTTAAAAAAATGTTCTTGTATTGTATAAAGTATGACAGAGAGTAGTACCTATGTCTCCCCCCCAAACCCCCATTGACCTTCCCCCAGCCTCCCATACCACCTGGCACATACCCTCATCCCCCCTCCCCCCAGGGCCTCACGTAGTTTTAGATTTTTAACGACTGCAAACAAAAAACAACAACAACTGGGTTTCCACATCACACTGGACAACACAGACACAGCACGCCGATACTGATTCTTACCAGCATTTCCGAAGATCAAATCCACAGAACTGATCAACAAGAACTACAATTTGGATTGATCTAGGAATGTCAGCATCTAAGATGTGTCACTTCTTACACTGGGAACACCTCAGTTATAACTGTGGAAGATATGGGAAAATGTGATATATGCACATACACCAACGTCAAATACAAGGTCAAGTGTGCTTTTTGGATCCTCCCCCAGAAGGTATTACAATACTTTCATATTAAAATATTTTTTAAAAATCATTAAAAAAAAAAAAAGCTGTTCTTGTGGTCTTGCTACTGAGAGTCTTGGCTTCTGTTTTCTCATCATCACAATATTTTGAGCTTATTTTATAAATAAAAAAAACCCCTCGATGTATGCCTCAAGAAACCATCCACTTTTAATTCCACTTTAGATGTGACTTTTCTGTGTCACATCCATCTATTTTCAATGGTGAAATTCTTATACCACCCATAAGTCAATCTATTCATCTAACCACCTGTCAGATGACCTGAAAACCACCCATGATGCAATCACGCGTGTAATTAGATGAACGATGCCGATTCCCATGTTCACCCATGAATACCCAGCCATCTAGCAATCACACACAAATCCACGTGGACAAGATTCACGCATCCAACATGCCCTCCCACACATCACTAAGGATCTCTGCCTTCACTTCATATATTGAATCTCTCAATCAGTGCATTAACCCACGCCTCCCCTTGCTTTTCAAAACATTCTTTAGCCTTGCATCCAAAGGCCCCTGGTGTATAGTTTCATCCATGTTTACTTCTACCCAATTGTGCATCCGTTTTTTCTAGCCTTTTATCCAATCAGACTCCTTAAAAATATGTATAGCATGTATATTTTTTAAATCACTCCAGAATTGTTCCGAGGGGAAACTAAAATAGAGCTCTAGATTTTAGCAATTGTCAAGGGTCTGATAGAGCCAGCTTATCCCTTTCACACTCCCATATCTCCCTAAAAAGGTGATTTTGTGATTAAGCAAATTTTCAAGAATAGCCAGGACCTTGGACACCTGGCTAAATCTCTCCCATTCCTGATTCCATAATAATCACACGTTCCATTCACAACCAGTTCCCTCCTTGTGTTTGACAAAACTGGTCCAAGGCCAAAGGGCACCCCAGTGACCCTCACGTGTGTGATCAAAGCACCATCCATGTCACTTTGCTCCCTTCACCTCTTATATCCATTCACACCTTCAAAGGTCACTTTCACATTCATCAACCCCCTTAATGGCTGCCTATTACAAGATGTCCTCTGCATGTACTGCAGATGAACTCCCTGGAGACTCAATTCTTATGGATATAAAGCTGTTACACTCTTGCCACCAAACTTGAAATTACTGTAAACCCTGAGAGCAGAGTTCATTGTATCTTGACTATAAATCTTTCCCCATTTGTCTACCCCCCACCCCCAGGATGAAAGATAACTTGGGTCTTTATTTTCTCATGCAATCATCCACATCTGGGTTTGGTCTTCAACCCTTGGTTATCTATAGCAAACACCTCTTCCACCCCCACTGTATGCAAGTCTTCCATCTGACCTCAATACCCTGCTCACAGCATTGGAGAAATCCCCCAAGTGTAACCGAGGCCAGAAAAAGGTGCTGTGGTCAGCTAGGCCAGGCCCGTTCTAGCTGTTTGTGTAATAATTCACTTAATACCGAGTGAACTGAGATGGATGCACTTTGTCCTAACAAGACTGATAAGCCAACTGCTAGTAAAAGTAATTCTCTCAGAAGGATATTATAAAGATGTAACACAAAGAGTGGCCACATTCAACCAGGAACTCAATGTTGACAGTCCCAATCCTATTATTTGATATTTAGGTAGATAGGGAATTTTAAAAATGGATCCTGTAATTTCATAATTGTAATAACTAGTGTTATACTAGCAAAATACCTTTGAATAGACAGTAATATGAAATTCAATATTCTTTATTAATGGTAAAGCATTCACCCTATGTATCTTTTCAAGTTTATACTGATTTTACTGTTGGAATGAAATGAAGGTGCTATGGTTTTTTTTGTTTTTTTTGTTTTTAAAGAAAACCTTTCTTAAGTGAAAGGTTGAATCAAAACACGTGATACAGGAATGATCTTATAACTTGGAAGATGGGCATCCCTAAAGACTGACATATAATATTCTAAACTAGGTCTTATGTTATTTCTTGGGTGGGAGATTGGAAGGTATAAGTGCCCGTGCAGATTCTATTTGGGATATATTTAAAAAAAAAAAAATCCCATGCGTAGCTATTTTCAAGAGAATATACTAATTTTAGAATTAATGACACAAATGGCTTTTATGCAACCATAAAAAAAATAACTGAACTGCATCATGTCATCACCATGTTAACTACGAAATGCTTGGAAATGGGCAACAGTAAGATCTACAATAGCAGTATGCCAAAACATCAAATCGATTAAAAATGGAAAGACATACCTGTAGTTGTATAGGAAGTCACTTAAAAGATATTGTCTCCTAGTTAATCTAATTATTTTGATGCAAATGAAATAAAACTGCATGTTTTCCCAACTTGCAAAATAATTTTAAGCATCGAGTGACAGAAAAAGTGCGAGTATAGACAGGGAATATTCTGAAAAAGAAAAGAAAGGAGATAGAACTCAATAGACTAGGTAAGAGTCACAGGTACCAGTAATTTTGAAGCATTAATAGGATGATCAGAAACAGAGTCAACAGACTGAATTTTGGGATTTAAACAATAGGGTAGAATTTAAAACTAGTGGTGAACTGTTTAGGTCAAGGTGCATAATATGAGTATGTGATGCCTTTAAAACTGCAGCAATGATTTGTGTAAAAAAAAAATAAAATGACAAAACTGACATAAAGTAGAAGGAAATATAGACATAAATGTATACTATTGTAAACGTTTTTAAAAAGAAAAACACCAACACAAAAGGGATAAAACATTATATGATTATATTTAATAACAAGTTTGGATACAACCAAAAAGTAAAACACCGGAGTAAAATGGTAACAAAAACATGGTATTTCATTTGCAAATGCATGAGAAATGGTTAACATCTTTAGTGATAAACAAGCTCTTAAAAACCAGTGATGCTACAGTGATGCAAGGGAACTGGGGAAATGGAATGAAGAGGTGAGGTGATGCAGAAGCGGTGAGTGTGTGACTGTGCTGAGCAGTGCTGGAGGAGCTTCTCCGAAGTCAGGGCAGAACGAAGACACTGGCACCTAACAGTCTACCGCTCTGAACAGTGTTTGTGCAGTTTGAGCTCAAACAGCGGAGGAAGATTAACGAGAAGGACCTAGCGTGAGTGGAAAGCTAACTTGAGCCTATATATAAATTGATTATTTTTGGCCAGAGAATTTCCAATTCATTGGAGTTTTTTTCAACTAGTTAGTTGGATAATTCAAAAGGAATGGTATAAAAGTGTGTTCGATGCAGAGAGGATGCGTGGTCAGGGTAAGCGCCTAAAGCACTACTTGCCTACAATGTGTGAGCGCCACCACAAGGGTGCGCACTAACTCTATTAGTAGATGATAGCGTAGGGAGTACTGTCATTTCGTACTGTGATCCGTGTATATGGGTCCTGGTGGGTACCAGAAACATTGATTGAGTATACCTGAAACTAATACAAAGTAGTATTGAATGTTATCTAAATGAAAAATAAAATGACATTATATAACATGGGGTGAGGGTAAAAATTAAAAGGTACATAAAGTAGTGACTACATACTTAACAAATTTTTATGTCGCCTAAAATCTAAAGAAAAAAAAACTATCTTAATGAATACATTGTAAATCTAAGCTACAAGTAAAATAAGAATATATGGGAGCCCTGGGGGAGGCCTCACAACGGCACGTCCAGGGCTTCGGTCTTAAGGTCTCCAGCTTTCCATTTCCTGGTTCCAGTCCCACAGCAACAAGGACAACAGTCAACATGCTGCTTACAGTTCTCGCCATCACCGCGAGGTCACCTTGGACACGAAGTTCTCTCTGTCGAGCTGAGCTGGCAGGGTGTGTCCGTGGCCACGCCCAGGAGGCACCTCTGAGCCGCTCTGAAGACGGTGGTGTTCTGGTGGTGGCAGAAGCTGGCAGGCGTCTGTCCGGGCATCCCCTGGGCCGGGAGGTGAGAACAACAGGTCAGAACCTCACTATGGCACCGGGTCCCAGGGCAGCTCAAACTCTGATCACTGTCTGTCTTACATGCATGTCTCCGGGACGCTCCTGGGCCAGGGATGGAAGTGGGGCACAGCGTGAGGACGGGGCGGTGGAGCACTGCAGTGGAGACTTCCTGAGCACCATCACCTCCTGTGAGAAGAGAAACTCTGTAAGGCAAGGCTCGTCTCCCCTTTGGTGAAATGCCCTTTAAGTTAGTTCTCAGGCAGGCTGGAAATCCAGCTACAGCCTTATAGGAAAACAGCACTCCCTGTTCCAGAACCTCTTACCTGTGGTTCCGTTGAGCCTCAGGGAACAAGGAACTCCACCGAAAGATGAATATTCCCGATGTTAATTGTCCTTACATTTTCGCAAATTCAGTTTCCTTTCCTCATTTTTTCACTCCTGAGTAATAGACAGTATAGACATGTTTAGATACAAATTAGACAAAGGCCTACTTGAAATCCTTTTGAGACTCAACTACAATAAGAAAATAAACCCATCCTCCCAAGCCATGAATGTTTTCTGCCTGTCAACACAAATGAGACTGTACGGCACATACCTGCCATCTCCCTTCTTCTCTCCTTGGTCACCGATTCTCCTTCTTCCTCTTCCTTACACGGTACAGATCCGTGCTGCGTTAGTCTCCGAGTCACATACTGTCTTGATCTCTTAAAAGCATTAGTCAGGTCCAAATCGCAATAGAAGGCCGGACACCACGGCCACACATGCCCAGGGTGTTGATAGGCAAGATGGACAGGCACAAATTAGGTGCCTTTAACATCCTGTTGTTAATGTTCTTTCTGAAACACCTTTTAACATTTTGAATGCACAAAGTAGAAGCAGTCCTTCCACTCACATCTGTTTGTACTTTTGAGATTTTGCCATAGTTGGCCAGACAACTTTCTCTTCCATACTCGGTCACTTTAGATTGTCATGTAGCAACATACAAATACATGGATGAGCGATGCTTACTATTTTACTAGCACATGCACAAAAATGCCAGAGGGTCGAAACCATCACCATGATAGCAACACTGATGTTGAATCATTGCCCTCAGCTTTTCTGGTAGATGACGTAGAGGCCCATGGACATACCTCCTTGTCACAGACATTTGTTGATCTTTGCTAAAAAATGACAGCTTTAAGTATCAATTTAAAACACACATCCACATAAGAAAGTCTTATCAGTATTTAAATTATATCCATTTAAGTAATCTATAATCATTATCTTTAACTAATGTGTATTTCAGTCGTTCAAAGTTTCTTTCAATTTGTAATGTACTTTCAACATTGTAAATTTGAATTGGAATAGATAAAATCACAGCAGTCAATTTTACGCATTCACTTTTGATTGTCATTGCCAAGCTGCTATTCAAATAGATGATTTATACTTTAATCCACACTGGATTGGACCATCTTTCTAAGAAACTTTACGAAAGTACATTACAGGCAACTGAGATACAATACACTTTTGACATTAAATCATGACCTTCAAATATAACAATTCACCAGAAAAGTTTTAGAGGTCTCAGAGAATTAAAATATTCATAATTAGTGAAATTCTCTCATACAGATGACACAAGTGAAAGCATTGATAGATGGAGTTGCTTAATTATCGTATACAAAATTAACACATTAACATGTAATGAGGCTGGCTTTTAGAAGTGTAAGAATAACTTTCATAGCAAAATGAAAATCAATAAGCTAATGAGAAAACAAGCATTCAGATCTATCCCCCTAGAACAAATGTTCATATGTGCGTATGTTCACATTTATCTAGCCTAGCAACATAGCAATTTCTTTAGCAATGTGCGTCTCTGCCATGTCTGATTCCATCACTGACAACATCTGGATGTGACAAAGTGACAGTTCTTGTCACACACCTTTATCCCTAGAGCTTCACCACACATGTCTGGTGTGCCAATACTTTTGTCCATATCCGGTGTAGCCTTTCCTTCTACAGAGAGCCTCACTGAGACGAAGACATGAAAGCAATCTCAGGATCCCACTTCCAGGAACTCTCCGCACACCAGAATGCTCACACGGCCAGGGAATCAAACCATCACTAACTACCACCTAGCACATTGCCAAACATACCAGAAGCCACCTTATGCTAGTATTCAATGCATTATTTACAAAATTTGCCAATCTCCCTATCCATCTAGAAAACCTAGATGTTTAAAATGCGTGTATATATATGCCTATTTACAAAATTGTCCTGACTGTGGCTGTGTAATTCTTTTAAAATACATTTCCCAAGATTAAAACACATAATGCCCTATTAGCTACACAACCACAAAGTGAGGACTGAGGTCTTTGATGTAGAATACAACACTAAACAATGCCTTATTTCAAAAAGCGTAGGACCATTCCCTTTTACCCACCCCCTAGCAAATCCACAAACAGAGCAATATATACAGCTCAAGAAACCACCACACATCCTAAGAATATAAAAGCATGAGATTGAACAATGAATTATTTACAAAAGTATACTCTGAGTGAGAGAATATATACATTTGGAAAGACTAGATGTGGGAAATTAAAGTGTATCTGCCTGTTATTTACAAAGTTGTCTTGAATACTGTCATGCGACCACGGGAACACACACACAACAACTATGTGTAGTTCCAAGAGGTAGTATAAAATCCGTTTGGCGAAGCAACTAATTTTCTTCGATGTGAAAAAGAAAAAAATACAGACGGAAGGATTAATAGGCAGATAACAGGATTTAGGGTCATGAGAATAACCAATATCATAATGGGTATGTCAATGTCAAAATGTCACCTTATGGATGTAAAAGGCATGATTACCCTACGTGTTGGGCTGATTATTGCATGTGAGTGGGGACTGAGGTATATGGGAAATCTTTATATCTTCCCCTAAATTTGCTATGAATTTAAAACCGCTTTTCAAAAAATCTTAATAAAAACAGAAACCTACTGGGAAACTTGGCACACCCAAAAACACACCAAATTCACACTGAATCTTGTTTACAATTCATACTTAGGATGGCCAGACTAGTCTTCCATATTGGGGTAAATGAATTAAGTTGTACATTTAATTTTATTGCCGTGTTATTATTGAAAGACAATTGGGTAGGAACAAATATACAATAATATTTACAGGATTATATATTTTAGAGATTCTGTAAATGTTCTTTAGAAAAAACAATTCCATCACGAACCTCAGCACATCTGGGAAACTAATATATAACAACATGGCCCTTAAATTGAGGTATTTTTCTATAAAATGACAATTTCATGCTTATTATCTACTTTTTACGTCTAAATAAAAATGTGAGGTAAAAACACTTTTCACTTAGCATACTATTCTCAAGGTCCATCCATGTTGTTGGGAAGTGGGTGGCGAGGTAGTTAAGGAAAATGGGGGCCAAATATATGGTGATGGAAGAGGATTTTACTTTGGGTGGTCCACATGCAATGCAAAAGACAGATTACATGTCATCGACATAAACAAAAAATAGATAAGAAAATATTAGATGAGGTCAGAAAACATCCACTAACCTTTTTCAATATTTGAGGAAAAAAATCTAATTATATGAATATATTGATACTAGAAAGTATATCAGCAATGAACAGGCGTTTTAAAGATAAATACAGTTTTAAGATTACAATAGGCAGGACTGGTGAACCATTTCAAGCAAGCAAGCAGAAAAAAAAGCCTACGTGAAGCATATGTGCTATAATTCCAGGTGAAATAGAATTTACAACGATAGAAATCTCTGCACATGTACAAGAGTATATTGATAGAAAAACAAAGATCTGGTCAGCTTAATTACCCCCATTCACCCCAAGTGATATCAAACACTAGGGGGTGAAGTAACACTTCTATTGGTAACAAACATTTTTTAACCATAAGTCAACATTAACATATGTACTCTGTGTGTGTGTGTGCGCACGTGTGTGGGCATGCGCTTATGTGCGCATGTAGAGAGGATTTCTTCTATACACCTAGGAAGTGAAGATGTGTAAGAAGCTTGTCTATTATACATACAGCAGTCAGATAACCTCCCTGCTCAAATCCAGAACTTAACATTAAAAAACAAACTTGAAAGAAAAAATTTACACGATTAACATATTAATGACAATGATTTCTACACCTTAACTAAGAATGTCTACTGAAAAAAAAAATACAACACAAAGGCAATAACCCCCCCCAAACAATACATGTTGACTAGACAAATATAGCAATTTAATTGCCTAAATAGAAGTCACCTTTGTCTATCAATGCAGATGTTATAAAACAAAACATTTGTCCACCATATAACTAGCAGCGTCACAGTATCTTCCATTGTTTGTCCTATGACTTTAAAAAAATATTCTGTACACTAATATACACATATGTACATGTATATGTGTATATTTATATACACATATGAATATGTAAACAATCATATTTAAAGGACTAAAAGTTTAAAAAAGATATATACAATAATCTAAAAATAAGACATGCAAATATAAAAGTCCCTATTGCTTTACAAAACATGTAATAACTGAATATTATATATATATACATATTATACAAAAACATTCTTTTGTCAGCCCACATATAATGAACTTGGGTTTAATATATTCCATTGCTAACGTCCCAAACATAAATCACCTATACAACTAGGAATATGTACTAAAAACAATTCACTATTATCATTATGTCAATTTCCACTTGCAAATGAACTTGTCTAACCTATGCTATTTTACACCACATTGTAGAGATTTCTCCAAGTTATGCAAAAAACCTGTCCTATTTGTATACAAATATATCTGAAACCATCAATAAGAGCAGACCTACAGTTGCAATGACATTTCCAGCATGACGTCATAAACCAGAGTGCATTGTACTATGTTCTACATTGAGGACAACATAAACATGGCGCCTAATGATGAAGGAACACCGAGAGGCTACATCTAACATCTCTTTGGTAAACAAAAATGCTTCTATCCCAGTAAGTTGGTCATATTTATAACAAATTTACAATAATGTATATACACGTTAAAAATTGCATGTTAGGCATTAGTAACATTGTTTATAAAAAACAAAATGTTATAAGTAATAAATAAATCGTGAGGCTATATAAAAATGAAAAGAAAATTTACAAACTAAAGGTAGACGTGTGAGCATGGAGGTAAGCCATCTCCGTGAGATGGCTTTGAAACATAGCGCAACAGCTCTTATATAAACAGCAATAGCACTTGGTATAAGCATAGCGCAACATATACATATCAAAACAATGCCAATCACACGAACATTTACACCCACGGAGCAGCCTTTCATGTCTGTGGTCGCTGTGTTTGAAACCACCTGGCCCAATCCCACAGCGACCGTCCTTTCAAATGGTTAAATGTATGTACATCTTTCAGAGGTATTCTGACAGTTCTATTTAACATCAGGTATTAAAATACTTCTATACACGTAACCAAACTCCTTGTTAAAAACTATATACATCAGAAAATGGTGCAAAGCAATTATATTTGGCTTTTTTATACACATGGATATCTAATGCCTTGCCATTTCCTTTTCTACTATCCCTGAGCACAAACGAGTCCAGAATTGTGTATAGCTTTACAAAACTAATCCAGAAGACAATTTTACCAAATGTGTTATTAGAAACTTCCCTAGGAAACCAGCTTGAGTATATCACAGCAACCATTACAAAAATATTCAAAAATAACAGATTTGTTTACAAATGGAGGCCTCTGTGCTTGAGTTTATATTCCAAGGAAGTTTACGTAAACAAAGAATAAAATACAAGAAAATGAAACCATTATATGTCGAATTTCATTCTCTTTGTCTCCTCACACCAAGAACAGTTCATAACATTCTTTAGTCACTGAGCATTTCATATTTACATTTTAACATCATTGTCCATACCAATGTCCATCAATTGTTCAGCTTTATGTGGGCAATAAAGTGAGCAGGGTTAGATTCTTAGTTGTTTTTAAAATGCTAATTGGAGAAAAAACTGGGGACCTGTGCCTCAGGCATCTATACAAATGTCTCTGTTACACAGCTTTCAATGGTAGACCTTCTGAAGGGGAGTTGAGATTCCCCACAAAATATTCTTTTTCTCCAAAGAGATGTAAGAGCGGATGGTCCAAACAAAGAGTATAAATCTGTGTTTCTTGTCCTCGTGGCTGGTAAAGCTTCAAGATCAGTAAGAATGTGCTGTGTGTCCTTCCTCTCCAGCTCCTGCGGGGTTGACCTGTGTCTGCTTGATGTTGCCCTTCACACCCCTTTTTGGGGAGGAATACGGAATGAGAGATGCCGTTCCTTTGCTTTTGGCCCAGGCATCGATTCTTATTAGGGTGGGATAATGGCTCTCGATCTGGCCAAAGACCCCTTCAGTTTGCATGAGGTTTAGATGCCCACAGAGTTCCCTGGTTCAGGCCGGGCAGTTCCTCAGGCTGGGATCTCAGGCCCATCCATTGTACATCATCGTGGCTTTCAGTAACGGTTTCTGCTGTACAAACTTCTGGAGATGGTTGTTAGGGGACCGGGGGGGAGGGGGTTTGATGAATGAACATCCCAGATTTTGAGAATCCAAATCTTCAGGTGACAAGTGAAGATTACCAGTTCTGAGAGTGGCAAAAGACGCTGATAGTATCAGTCTATGGAATCTTTCCCCTCTTCTGATTATTGCTTATCATAATACTGTTGGAACACGATGTGGTTCGTCATCTGTCAGAGACTCTCTGGCAGACAGACGAGAGAATCTGAAGACAGAAGTAAGGCGACGGCTGGGAGTTTTAAAAAAGTTACAAGAGGTCGAACTGCCAATTGGAAAGGTAGGTGCGGGACAGCCATCTACTGGAGCCTGAGCAGCAATCCCCCGGCTACGCAGGTTCTTACTTTTGGCAAGAAACCCTTGTCCATGGTTCTCAGGCTCCAGGCGTGTCCAATGCCTGCCCCTTGGTCACCCCCTCGTTGGCAGCAGCTTTTTACATTCTATAAAATTCAGTCAAAGGTATCATGCAATGGTTTTGAAGTGATGGTTATGATGGCATGAAATTTTCACATGGTCACTTGCTAGTTTCTTCTTGGAGCGATCCAGACATGGTCTTGTCATTTTAAAAACAACTGTTCCAAGTGTTTTAACAGCAAGTTGTAGAAGATGTTTATGTACATTAGAAAAGCTAAACAATGATAGGTCTATTTACATAATTTTATGTGGCTACGTCCGTGGTTACCACTAAGTAAACAGTTGTATACTCTCAATAACAATGAACTCTTGATCTCTAAGAGGTTGTACAAGAGATTCGTTCACCTGCTTGTTTTTTTTTTTAAACAGGTAAGTTTTATTCTCTAGTGAGCTAGACTGAAACAGATGGATGACTTTAAGAATGATCCTTTTCCTTTCCACAGAAGCCAAATTGAAATGGGAAGTATTCCTTAACTATGGATAAGCAAGTTGAATTTAGGATGGTGTTACCCAATTCTCTGCACCCAGCAGAGGCAAAATCAAATGCCACTTAAATCTTTAAGAATTGAGATTTAAACTAGAAGCTGAATTGTCATTTCTTGTACCTTTTGTTTCTTTATGAATAGATTTTACCCAATAATTTAGCCAAATTATGACATACGATCTATCCTTCAAATCTATACGAAATGCCAATTACACTAGGTCTTGGAAAGAGAACAGCAATGACTTTAAGGCCAATGAATCTCTCTCCATAAAATACCAGAAGTCAGGCTATGCTTTCTTGTAAACATTTAAACAAATTTTACCATATTGCAATCTAAGACAAAAATATTACTCATTGAGTTGTGTTTAAATATTTTAGTTTCCTCACTGTGGTTCGGGTTTTGGAGGGGTGGGAAATTTCAAATATTCCTTTGGCCTCACCTAAGACCTTAACTGAGAAAACACCCAATCCATTCAGTCATGCTCACCAGAGAGTTACACATTAAGCAAAAGATAATTAGAAAAATAGGTCACTTTTTTTTTTCTGCCATCCTACAAAAATAAGGAAATCCATATCATTGCAGTAATTTAATTCTCATAGAAACTATCAGGTTTTTTTTTATAAAAATCCTGTGGGATTTCTCCCTATCTTCAGCCCAAGCCACAGAAAAGAGGTCTCCTTGTTTCAAATTCAGGTCCTTTTAAGTCACAACTTTAAGTGTTCCATGATTTCTCATTTTTGAGTCCAAACCACAGAAAAGAGGTCTTCTTGTTTGAAATTTAGGTCCCTTTCCTTTATAGGTCACATTTTTAAGTCTTCCATGATTGCTCATTTTATTGAGTCCGAATCACAGAAGAGAGGTCTCCTTGTTTCAAATTTACATCCTTTACAGGTCACAAGTAAGTCTTCCATGATTGCTCATTTTACTGAGTCCAAACCATAGAAGAGAGGTCTCCTTGTTTCAAGGTTGAGGTCCTTCATGTCACAATTAAAAAAAAAAAATCTTCCATGATTGCTCATTTTATTGAGTCCAACCACAGAAAAGAGGTCTCCCCTTATTCCATAGGAGTCCCTTCCTAAGTCACAAGTTCCTAAAACAACATGATTGCTTATTTGAATTCGGTCCAAGCCACAGAAGAGGTCTCTTTGTTTCTAGTCTGGGTTCCTTTTTCATTCGTTGCAAAGTCTCTCTACCTCCACACTCCTCAGCACCTCCCAATACAGAGAAACCCCGACTGAAGTGACAAAATGTCAAAGCTTGCCACTAACAGTGAACAGTCCATTGTAACACTATTCCCATTTAGAAGCATATTTACAAAAGCTCAATTTCAATACCAAATATTGCCACCAGGATATTTACAGCAAAGCTATTAAATACATATTGAAATTTGCCACTAGAAAATAGCATCACTCATTAACTCATTGGTATTGCCAGTTATGGCCATTTTAAATGACTTAGGAGTGGATGCTTACAATACAACAACCATATGCAAAAAATAATAAAGCTGTGCACAGTTCAGTAACCAACACAGAACACAAACTGGATAAAACACTCCCCCACAGTGGAAGCATCTGGCAAAATTACCATGTCTATGAAATTAGCATGCTATTGAGAATACTACTGTTTTCTGGAAACTTTACTGTTCAGTTTCATCCAAATTGAGGTCAATATTTGGGTAGTTGATTCATTATTAGAGACATTATCCAAATTAATTTGCTTTCTCCAATCAGGTACATAATTTAAATTTATTTTGGCAATTCTGATGAAAGGATTCACACTCAAATTTTCAGTTTCTGGCCAATTACAAATTTGGTTACTAATTGGTTATATTTTAAGAAAAAAGTATTTTGCATTCACCTTTAGACAGCCAATTTCTTTCCAAATTAAATGCTCTAATGAGTCCATTTTAAATGTTCCACAATGAGGTCTATGCAGATTGGCGTGTGGAACAGTCCTTTCAGATAATGCCCAAGGAACTCTGAATCACCCCCAGCTATTGGTTCTCTGTGTGGTGCCTGAACAGGGCATGTCACCTTTTCCGCCCTAGACCTACTGAATCAGCAGCAGACAAACTGTACAAGCCCGCAGACTGATTCTCATGTGCACTAAGGTTGGAGACAAGTTTGGCCTCATCTTAGCTGGCTACAAATGCAAACCCCTTCACCTATTCTACTAACCCAGCTGTCATCTCAAGAAAGGACCCGGAGCTAACCCATCAAGGCTGGCCGAGACCAAGGCGCTGAATGACACAGTGGCAGGTAAGTGGTACCTGCAGCACCTAACCTCCCCCACAGCCTCCTGATATTCCAAGACTCAAATGAAGTAACTGATGTTGCTCTCCATTTACCCAGATGGCTCCCTTCAACCTGATGGAATCCCTTTAAGCCCTTCAATTTCCTTCTTCCCTGTGTCCACTACCACTCACTCTCCATCTCAGCCTTCCCAAAGAGTCTGATCAAGTCAGCCCTCCCCATCCATGAAACAAGCACCTGATCACTTCCAGAGTGTGCAGGGGTTCTCTCTAGGCCACATGCGCCTCAAGAATGGATGTACTGATGGTTCTCAGCCAGCTGGATCAGGGTCCTTTCTCTCAGCAGTTGGTATCACCCTATGTTGCGCCCAATGTTCAAGGTCAAAAGACTGCTAACTCCCTCAACTGCATGTTCCCACTGTAATTCAGTTAGTAGAAAGGGCATCTTTCTTCTCTCAATTCTCTAAGAGAAACCAAACAAGTCTCTGAGGTAGTAAATATTAAAAAAAAAAAATTCTGGTAGGATAACTGGAACTAAACAAGGTAAAAAACTGCTAATACTTATCTAACCTATTTACAAAGAACGTTGTTTGTTAATCTTTACAGCTTTTTCCACTAAAAGCTGTTCACTCGCCACACTAGCCACACCCACACTATTTACACACACTCACACACATGCATTGAAATTAAGGTGACTATTTAAGGATAAGGTCTTAATACATTCAATTGTCCATGGTAACTTTTTTATACAGGTTTTCCTAAATACCTGTTTAATTACTATTCAATCCCTCACAAGAGCTACTACAAGCAAAGCACAAGCACTTAGTCGTAGAATGTCAATCTCAGGTCTTAAGATCCATTACTCATACAAGACAGATGTTAAAGAATGACGTGAAGTCCCCGTTCAAAGAATGCATGGCATTTTGGCAAAAATGTCCCTCACCTGTGCTCAGATTCACCCACTGCCAACGCCCCTTCACCCCCTTGAATCTGAGCCAACAATCAATCTCCATCTTGCCAACATGCAAAAGGTGGTGACTAAGAAAAGAATGAGAGTGCTCCCTCTGGTGGAAAAAAACGTAAACTGATCTTAGACAAAAGCAAGGTCTCAACCAACTGGCATGTTCTGCCTCATGTGCTAACTGGAGCTGCTCCGAGGGGCTGGGGGCCATGGTCTCAGGAAGCTCTGGTCCAAGGTGGGAACCAGTGCAGCTGTCATGAGGTGTCACTTGAAATGCATGATGGGAAAGTCAAAGGTGAGACAGCATATGCTGAGACACAAGAAACCATGTCATGGGTGGGGATCAATACCCACAGCTCCCTCCTTTCTCTAACGAACCTGCAGTGTTGACGGGAAGCCTGGTGAAATGTACAGCCTACAAACGGATGTTAAAGAAATGTGCGGCCCACGTGCGTGGATGGACACTTTGGCTGGACTTCAGAGTATTCATTCGGGTGACTTTCACGTCATTCAGTTCAGACAACATAGCTCATCATGAGTCAAGCCCACGTCTTACCAACAGCAAGTGCACCTGGTTGGAGGGTAATGCCTGTGGACTGTACATTTCTACTACCAGGACAGCCCTAGCCTACCAGAGGGCATGACTGATCAATCAATCATCTTGGACAACAATGTCACTCAATGACCCAGAATTAAGGTTGAAATCTAGGGATGGGGAATCAAAGATCATGAAACATCCAGAAATCTCAGAATTGGGTTGAGACCTTTGGTGCCTTACAAGAAAATACCTAGAATCCACTCTCTCAAGCCAACTGCCCAACAAACTGAAAAGTGGAAAGTGGAACACCAGAAACCAGCAGACAGATTTAACAGGAGGAAGTCTAAGGTTCCTCTCCTCCAACAGCATGCTGGAATCCCACCGAAGAGCAAGGTGACATGAGAAAACTAAAGTATTCCCAAGTGTGGAAAAAAATCAAGGTGCAAAGGTCAGTGAGAATGGCCAAGAAAAAGGAAGTCAGACTGAACAGATGAAATCCACTTGTATCCTCATCAATTACTCATATTGGGAATCTACTTTTACCTTCATTCTGGCTGCTAAGTGACAAAGATGCTACAGGAAAATAAAGAAGTTGCAATCAGATAAAGATCCTACATGAAGACAGATGCTGTGACCAGGTAGAGAAGCTCAATAAGATGCTACATGAAGACAGAAGCTCAATAAGATGCTCCATAAGGCAGAGAAGCTCAATAAATAAATGCTCCATAAGGCAGAGAAGCTCAGTAAGGAGATGCTACATCAGACAGAGAAGCTCAATAAGGAGATGCTACATCAGACAGAGAAGCTCAATAAGGAGATGCTACATCAGACAGAGAAGCTCAGTAAGGAGATGCTACATCAGACAGAGAAGCTCAATAAGGAGATGCTACATCAGACAGAGAAGCTCAATAAGGAGATGCTACATCAGACAGAGAAGCTCAGTAAGATGCTACATCAGAGAAGCTCAATAAAGAGATGCTATGCTACATAAGGCAGAGAAGCTCAGTAAAAAGATGCTCCATCAGACAGAGCAATGAGATAAGATGCTACATCAGACAGAAAAGCTCAGTAAGGAGATGCTACAGAGAAGCTCAATAAAGAGATGCTACATAAGGCAGAGCTGCTCAGTAAAAAGATGCTCCATCAGACAGAGCTCAATCAGATAAGATGCTACAGACAGAGAAGCTGAGTAAGGAGATGCTACCTAAGACAGAGGCTCAATAAGATGCTGAAGGACAAAGATACTACTGAAGGCAGGAACCCTGGGCAGTTACAACCCTGTAAATGATGAAGTCATGTGAGACTTCAACTGCAATTTGGAATTAAATGGCAGCCATACCTGGTGCCGTCCCTCCTGATGCCCAGAGGCTGTTGTCACTGTGGTTTCCTGCAGGCAATCAATCACCACCCACCCACCCACTCACTCACTCTCCCCCCCCCCCATCGTGGTCTTAGGACTTAGGTCACATGCTGCTGCTCTGCCAGGTATCTCCCTAAGCGAGCCAGGTCCTCTCCCTGCCCTGGGACCTCAGGTAGAACTTCAAAGGCTATATCCCTGCAGGCACCACAGCTCAGCCCTATCTGGGAGCAGCAGCTCCTTTAGAGATGAGGGTGGAGTTGGGGCAAAGGCCTGGATTGTCATCACAGGTTTCCACTGTAGGGGAGTCACTTTAAAGCACGTAAGGGCTTGTATTGCTAACATTCGTTAGTGCCACACATTTCTTGAACATTGACCATGTAAGACCTTAAACCTAGGTCAGTGATTTTCAACCTTTCTCATCTCATTGCACATAAGCCAATTAGTAAACTTCTGGGGGCCACCAAAATATACAATTTTTGCCAATTTAACCTAGAAAGTAAGTGTAATTTCAATTCATACTGAACAGCCAATGTTGTGTTGACTGGTCATTTATGTGAGATCTAAGGGAGGGTGCACTACATGCTTTAAAATTTTGTAGCTCGTGGGTTGAAAATCGCTAACCTAGGTTACAGACAAGATAAATTGTCTTCGAACAGGGGCTGTGTCCACGTGAAGGCATTTTCCATCCGGCTGGCATGTTGGTCAATGGGAGGCCTCCACTTAGCCACCATGAAACTTAAAAGGCGGGTGTCGGTGTTCCATCCCAGGCCGGAGGGTGGGGGCAGTCTCCACATGTGCCTGTCGGGGTCCGAGGGTGGGCCTCCTTTGTTGCCTCCAACAGCACAAATATGTACAGAAGAGAAAAGGATGCGCTTGAAATGTGTGTGAAGGTTTTGCAGAAGGATGTTTGAGGAACTGACATGTGTTTTAACTGCCATTGGAAGTATGCTAAATTGTCATGTCAAGCCAACACTTCCTGTTGACAAGATGTGCTAGGTGTGTGGTGAGGCGCATGACCAGATTTCAGTGACAACTTCCTAGCTCATATTTTGAGATCATGATGTTCAGACAAGGTCCTGTATCATCATGAACCCAGCCATGGCCTTTGCAATGCACGCGGGTGTTTCTGCGCGATCACTTTACCTTAAGGGGCCTGTCCCACGGGCAGGGGGTGGCAGTGCTGGCTGAGCAGGATTCGGGCGTTCGTTCCTGTGTGGCAGAGAGGGATTGTGAGAGACTGGACATGTTGTACTGTGCCAACCTCACTCGTTACACCTTGTCCATTGACTTAATATAATTAAAATCCTAAGCATTATGGCTTGGGTGCCAGGCCCAAGTTAAATAGAAGGCAACTATGACTAAGGGAAAAAAATCAGGCAACGGGTGATAGCCTTACAAACCTCATGATTTTGTAGCAACTATAATGAACTATAATGGCCTACTTGTTGAAAGCAATAGCTTCATTGGAAATCAACAAAGCCTTGCCCAGAGGCTGAAGTATTGTTGGGCTGTGATATGCTTTTATATATAAAAAAATCAAACACAAAACACCCAAAAAAACATAAGGCAGACTTCTACTTGAAACTATTTTACCAGCCTGTAAAGTGCCATGTCATTTTATAGACTGAAGATCTGCCCAGCAGGAGAGTCCTGGCTGGCAGAGGTCTGCCTCCAGTAGCTGTGTGATCTGAGGCCAAAACCTAATGTCTCCCGGCCTCCACAGCTCTCCAGCAGTCAGCTGTCCTCCAAAGCCAGACTAATCCGCACAAGGAACTCCGATCATCCCAGCAGACCACACAGAACAGGGGTCTGTCACCATGCCCCGCCCACAGGTACATGCTGCATCAGGGCTGGTTCTACCTCTTCTGCTAAGGGAAGGGTGGCTGGCCTTCTGTGCTGCTTACCTGGCAGTCCATCGCCAAGCGTGCAGCTCCTGACAGTCTCTTGTTAAAGATGGAGGCCAACAAGCCTCGCTGGAAAGAGCAGACACAGTCCAGTCCAGTGTTAATCCCAACCAACCAGTTCCACACGCTGACTCCTACAAACCGAGGGCCCCTGGTTTCCTAACTGCAGGCTAAGCTAAGGTGACCAGACTTTTAACATTGGTAAAGCAGGACACCATTGACCGGGGGGGGGGGGGGGGGGGGGGGGGGAGGGGTTTTATTAAAAATTTGGTCTATATGGAGCAACAAAATTTTTCATAGAACGCAAAATAGTATTGTAATATATATTTTTAAATCCAACGTAAGTACAATTTACAAATATAATAAAAATCATGTATAGTATTTTATTCTTTGGCATATTTCTCATTTGAGTGAATTCTAACAACTGATCAATAATGCCAACTTGGATAAGCAGTTCTCGATAATCAGTTCTCAACAATCATTTGTTATTATTAAAGTTTAACATTATAAAATTAACAAAAATATAAAAATTTCATATCCTGGCTAAATAGCCACATGGTTGCCAAATACTGTATATTCCCTTCCCTTTCTCCTGCCGTTCCCTAGCTTGTCGTGCATTCTTTCCAAAAATCAGGACTTTTTAAAAATGCTGCGGGATGTGGGACAAATTCATAAAAATTGGGACTGTCCCACCAAAAGCGGGACATCTGGTCACCTTAGGCTAAGCCCATATTCCCCCCCCCCTTTAATAACTAGAGCCCAGTGCACAAATTTGTGCAGGGGTGCAGCCCCTTGGCTTGGCTGTTCACTGGGGGTGATTGAGGGCCCTGGGAGGTTGGCTGTAGGAACACAGCTTCTATGTTGAGTGTCTGCCCTCTGGTGGTCAGTGTGCATCATAGCAACTGGTTCAGTCACTTAGGCTTTAATACATGTAAGAATTACATGTCCGTAACTACAGTGTAACACAAGTGTTACTTTTTAGCTTTCCTTCCTGACTGCAAACCTGATGCCTCACCTCTGGGCTCCTCAGCGAACCCAAGTGACACAGTGGATGTAGTGCCAACTGTTCCTTAGGATCTGAGGCGCCCGTCCCATCCCCAGCCTGGCCCCAAGTGAAAGGAGAAGTCCTTACCTCTGGGCGGGAAGCGGTGGTCACTCCCGGATCATGGCCACTGGTCACAGGCAGAGCATACCAGGGCGGGTGGGCGTCCTGTTCCACGTGCGTGATCCCTGCCAGCTTCCTCCTACGTGGCCTCACAAGCCCTCTTGGCCCACCCCAGCCCTGCAGGTATGCACGCCCAGCAAGTACAGAGACCGTATGCCTCTCAGCTCACCACCTAAACGCATGCGTGTGGAGGCTGTTACAATCGCCAAGGCACAGTGTGAAGGTTAGATCGAGTTCTTTAGAGAAAGGCCCTGAATGCATTGCTCAGCAGGCTCACCTCACCCCCATAGAGTAAACCCAACAAGAGAACGATCCCAGCCTCACTGACCTCAACAAAACCAACCGTCAAGAAAATGTACAACAGCCCCTCGGTGGTTGCTCTATGCATTTATTAGTGAATATTAATGCAGCAGGACAGCTCACAAACACGCTACAGTTTCACGAGACAGCGCAGGAAGAGAGAGAGACTGGGGACAACAGTATCTTAGGGTCTTGGTGGACGCATTCCTGGGGGGGGTGGACCTGGAAGATAAACAAACCTGCATGAGACAATCATCAGAGGCGCACCTAAAATGCAGGGAGCTGTGAGCCAACTCACCTCTGATCCCGGGGGGCGGGGGCCTCATTCCTGGAGGCGGCATGCCGATCGGGGTCCCTCGAGTAGGGGGCAGCCCAATGGGTGGGCCCATGGGCGGTCTCATTCCCGGTGGAGGAGCCATAATGCCTGGGACAGGAAAGCAGCAGGTATAACCAAGGAATAGGAAAACACGAACCTGACACAGAGCTGAAACCAATGTGGCTGCGATGCTGGACGTCTCGCACTAGACGCCAAGAGGACCAGGGGTAAGTCTGTCCCTGGTCAGTCCGAGCTAGACCCTCACTCTATACTGCTCTCCGTGATGCTCTGCTGTCAACCCACCCTCTGAGAGCCAAGTGACTTTGCTTCTTGTCTCCAATTCCTTACCTGGAGGGGGGGTTGCCCGGCCCACAGGGGTGGGGGGCGTCCCCCGCCCTGGGGGGTACTGAGTCGGGGCGCCAGCAATGCTGGCTGTGGCTGCCACTGCAGCAGCCGCAACGGTGCCTCGTCCCTGTGGAGTCATCACCTGGGAAGGATGCCGGAGATAACCAAGTCAGGCACTCCTCCCTCAAACAGGAAACCAGCGGGGTGACGTGCATTGTGTGCGTCCCCCGGTGTCCATGCACCAGCTCCTCCTTGTTTCACGCACCCCGAGCGCACACGCCTGTGGCAGCTCCCATCCTCTGGCCCTGGGCACTCCCCCAGGGCTCCAGACCTTTTCGTTTCCTCACCTGCTGTGAGGGTCCCCCTACCCCTCGGACAGGGCCTGCTAATCCCGCAGGAGCCTGTGGAATAGGAACGCCTGCAGGCACGCCTCTGCCAGCTGCCCTGCCAACCCCAGGGCCTCCTGCAGCCCCGGCCAGGGGGACGCGAGCGATGCCAGTCTGAAAGCAGGAAGAACAGCTCCAGGTCAACGGACCATCAGTGAGGTCCTCCTCCCACCGCTCCCCAACCTCAGTCTCCGTGTGTTAAAAGACAAGGGAGGCACTTGCAACTCAGATGCTGACCCTTCAAATTGTACTCCCTTACGGGGCTGCCCCCGATCTATGGGGTGCCAGCTCGAAGAAAGGCCGTGTTCACCACCGGACATGAAGTCAGGTGGGGCCGTGGGCCTAGGACGTGCTGCGGGACCTGCCCAGCCCACACCATGCTGCCAACTGTGCTCGCCCTGCCCTGCCCTGCTTACGTCTTTGGGGGGAGGTCCCTCCACAGTCATGGACACCAGGTTCTCCCCACGCAGCAGCACAAGGCCCAGCACCCGCTTCTCTTCTCGCTCGGGCTGCTTGGCGTTCTTGGGCCTACAAACCAGAAGCCGGTGTTAGGAGGTTGCCGTGCAACCTTCTCAAAAAGCAAGGACACATCCTGGATGAGACTTAACCAGAGCCCACGCCGACCTTGCTTTGTGAAGAGGTTCGACTGGCATGGCTTTGACCGTTAGGCAAATTAAAGCCTTGACATGGGAAGTTCTTAAAACCACTCTAACTGAACACATCTCCAGAGACCAGAAAGACGTGGGGACAGGTGTCAACAGGTAAAGGGGCTGAGGAACAATGGGGACCTCCTGGCCTCCCCGCTGCCCTACAAATGGCCATGGGAATGGTTCCAGTTTCCTCCCGTCACAGCAGGAAGACCAGGTGGGGGAGCAGGACCAGTGTTCCCATGAGAGGCGGCCATCAGGCTCCTCAGGGAGCAGAGGGAGCTGTGACAGCACCCTCTGTAGGCAACAGAAGGCGGCCCGAGTGCACATCGCTATGCTCTGAGCAGAGTGAACAGACTCAGTGTCCTCACATCCTGCTGACATGGCTCCCTGGCTGAGGTCTACCCCTGACCCTGGAGGTCATGGTTCATTCCCAGGCCTGGTCCCCAGGACGAGGCAGGCGGGAGGCACCTGATCCATGGTGATTGGGGAAGTTTCTGTCTGCATCTCCACCTTGCCCCTTCCTCTCTGACATCAGTAAGAGGAGCCCTGTGCCGTGTGTGTGTGTGTGTGTGTGTGTGTGTGTGTGTGTGTGTGTCAGAGAGAGAGAGAGAGAGAGGGAGGGAGGGAGGGAGGGGAGGGGAGGGGGAGGTGGCTCACTTGATCTTGCGGAACTCGTCGCAGTCGCAAAGGATCAGGTTCATGTGCTTATCGAAGGCCTTGAAGGTGCCGATGAAGGTGCGGCCGTCCTGCAGGATGCAGCGCATGCGGTAGTCGATGTGCTGCAGCATCTTGCTACTCTTGCCCACCGTCTGCAGGGACAGGTCGGCTGGTCAACAGCTGCCCCCCTGCCTGTGTCACTCACATCCCCCCCTGTGGACAGCCCTGCTCTGCTGAGGACCCTCCTCCCCAGAACCTGCCTGTGCCCTGCCCCCTCCTGACTCCCCTCCCCGTGGACTCCCAGGCCCTTTCCACCTCACAGGGGAGCCCCTCCTGTCAGGAAGGGCAGCCGCCCCACCCCATCTCTCCAGTTCCCTTAAGACCATCCTGTGGCATGTGACTCAAGCCCCTTTCCAAGGGGTTTCCTCCATCGTCCCCCTCTGAAGTCTCAGCCCTCCTATGGCCCTTTGGGAGACCGTCCCTCTAGGTGGACTCTGTCTAACAGCAGCTGCCCCAGGTACTGGCTAACCCGCCCCCATGCCACTCACCATGGCTGCGGTGCTGCCTCGTCCACGTCCACGGGAGAAGGTGGGAATCGAGACCTAAGGGGAGGAGGCTACAGACAAAGGGGTGACGGACAAGCAGTGGCAGGAGCTCCGGAGAGGGCGCCTGCAGAGGAAAGCAGGGTTGAGCTGCTGCCATCCATTGGGCTGGAAATCACTGGAAAAGGCCCCATTAGAACACCCACTGACCTTCAACAGCGCCCACACTGTGCCTGTCCCTGTGCGCTGACACTGCCGTCTCTGCCCCTCAGCTTCTCACCGCCCATCCTCACCTCAGCTCTCCAAGGCCCCAGGGGAGCCTCTGGCTCTCGTTCTGCGGAGACTGCCGCTCCCCTTCCTCACAAGTGCTTCGTGCTCAGGACCTGAATTCATGCCAAGTCATCTCAACTTCAGCAGTGATACCTGATCGCTCAAACCCACTTCCTCAGAACCTTGCTTCTCCCTGTAGTGCATCCGGTATGCAGGCTCCCCTCAAACCCCCACTGTCCACGCGGCTCCAGCACCTTTAATTCTAGCACCTCTCCCGTCACCTCAGCATGTATGTCCTCATGTCTGATGTGTGACGTTTAAGTGAAATTACATAAAGGCATGTCTAATCAACTGACCCAAACCCACATGCGTGAGTTTGGCCACTAGAGACAGGATTCTCTGTGGGAATCCTCAGCTACCCTCTCTCTTCCTTTAATGGGAGGGCCTTGAATTTTAAGCCCAACTCTTGACCCTAAATTTAGGTCCTGCAATCATAATCAACGCCCACGTGAGAAGACATCACTGTGCACAAGGATGGACTCTAGGCCAATGGTGAAGGGGAAACAAATGCCTGTGGAACAAGAAGACAGAGGTCATGGTGTCACCTGGAGATGCACCATGGGGGGCAGCTGTCTCTCCATCCCAGGGCACCTCGCCCATCATGCCCCCAGGTCCCTGATGCTAACTGTGGGCACTCCTCACACCAACAAGTTCTCAACCTTCTGAAAAATGGCTGAACTGCATGAACAAAAGCTGCTGCACTTCAACATGGTCTGATTTTGCCAAGACACGTTCCTGTGCTCATTGAAACCTTGTAAGACTCCTCACCGTGTGTGCAAAAAAAGCCAACAATAAATAGCAAACTTTCCCCATGAAATGCCAGGTACAAGTGTGAAACTTTACTGTTTGATTAATAAGTAAGTTATTCATTGAACAGTAAGGCCCAGGCGTGGTCCTGCTAACAGCACCTTTCCTTCTGATGGCACCTCCTTACCCTCACGCCCTGTGGTGCCTGCCAGCCCCGCACCCTGATTTGTTACCAATGAATCTGGAAAACACAGAACTAATGCTTTCATCACAGCAAACTAGAAAAAAAAATAGATGAAACTTAAATCAGAGTGGACTATCATTTACTCACTATGAATGATAATCATGAGGGCTGTGTAAGCAAATGAGTATTTGTGATTATGTCAATGAAATAAATAGAAAGTAAATTAGTTTTAAGGGCAAGATTCCACCCCTATCTACATTTTCAAAACAAAAATGGGAAAAATAAACTCCAACCTCGTGCTGTGGTTGAGGATGGGCATAACGCTGGGGCTTAACTCTCGTATTTTCTTGGCCATCGCCCACATGCTTTAACCATGCAAAGGAAGTGGGACCGCTATTCACAGGTAGAGCTGAAGTGAACGTGATCCTAGTCCTGACTCTGACCCCCAATCCCTGCCCTGAGGCCTTCATGCATCTTGACCCCTCCCCTCCAACCACAACTAGCGAGAATGCAGCCAGCATTTGTAGACACAATGCAATGGCCACCTTCACTGCTGTCGGCCTGACCAGGAGGCTGGAAGCCCCTGGTACCTGCCGTGGGCAGACCCCGTGCACTGTCTGGTGGGTTCTGTGGACACACAGTGGTGTGGGCACCACTGCGCATGCGGGTGAGGTGAGGAACTTCCCTGCGTGGGCATCTTCGTTGTCTCCTCTGCCTTACAAATAGGCTTTGTTATTGGCATGGAGGGGTAATATCTAGAAATAGAAAATGAAACACTAACAGGAAACTCACCTGTGACCCCCTTCATCTCTGTCTCAGTTTCTAATAAGCACATTAAACCCTTTGCATTGAGGCCATTCCAATCTTAAATTAAAAGTCACAAAGGAAAAACAAAGCATTAAATCAGAATTAAAACATGGAATGGGTTTTTCCTAAAAATGCAAGCAGTAAACATAAACAGACAAACTGCAAATAAATCGACAGCACATGGAAATCATAGGTAATGTCTTTATTACTGCGTCACCTGATGGAAATACATGGGTGTGAACAGAAAGAGGGAAAGGGCAAATCAAAAGGCAGGAGGCGTGGCCCTTTGCTAACGGTCCCCTCTGCTAAGGGCGGGGCTCCCCCTGGAGGCGGAGCTACGCTAAGCAGGGTGGCGCCTGCCTGGCCAGGATGCTCAGTGCCTTGCAGGTGGCCTTAGCAACCGTGCAGGTGGCCTTAGCAACCGTGCACAGCTTCCGGCCCCTGTACACACCCCCACGCCGGTGACCATTTAATGCAAAGCAAGGCACTGCTCTTTGCAAACTCCCAGATGGAATCTCACCGCAGAGGGTTCTAGAACATTGATTAGCCAGACCCTCAGCGGGCATCTGTGTGCTTTCACTTCTGGTCCTGTGGAGCGTGGAGACCCCGACCCGCGTGCAGACGAAGGACGGGGTGTCCTGCTCCTGTGACCCCCCAGCCCCGCCCTGCAGCTCACTGTGGACCGTGCCTTGCGGCTCAAACCTGGGCTCCGCTCTGCGTCGGCTTCGCCGATGCTCTAGCCGCCCCGGGGGGTCTCGGCCAGGAAGGCCTGGCGCAGCTCGGCCGGGAAGTCCAGGAAGTCCACGAGGGCCGCGGGCTGGCGCGGGGAAGGGCGTGGATTCAGGGGGCACCTGGGGAGCACAGCAGGGTCAGCAGGCCGTCCCCCCCGGAGCCCAGGGGACAGGGCGCACTGACTACCCGGTCAGGGGTGAGGCCAACGGCCCGGGACGACACCCTGGGCTCCCTGCGACCACGGGGGTGGGAGCGGGGGAGGAATAGGGTGCAGGGGGAGGGAGGGATGGGGGTTGGGATGGGCGATAGATGGGCTGCAGGGGGAGTGATGGCGGTTGAAATGGAGGAAAGGAGGGATAGGGGTGGGAATGGGGGAAGGAGGAATGGGGGTTGGAATGGGGGAAGGACGGGGTGCAGGGGGAGGGAGGGATGGCGGTTGGAATGGGGGAAGGATGGGGTGCAGGGGGAGGGAAGGATGGGGGTTGGAATGGGCGATAGATGGGTTGCAGGGGGAGAGAGGGATGGGGTTGAAATGGGGGTGAAGGGTGGGGTGCAGGGGGAGGGAGGGATGGGGGTTGGAATGGGGGAAGTATGGGGTGCAGGGGGAGGGAGAGATGGCGGTTGGAATGGGGGAAGGATGGGGTGCAGGGAGAGGGAAGGATGGGGGTTGGAATGGGCGATAGATGGGTTGCAGGGGGAGAGAGGGATGGGGTTGAAATGGGGGTGAAGAATGGGGTGCAGGGGGAGGGAGGGATGGGGGTTGGAATGGGGGAAGTATGGGGTGCAGGGGGAGGGAGGGATGGGGGTGCAGGGCCGGGACTCACACGGGCGCGCCCAGCGAGGCAGTCCTGCGCCGCTTCACCTGCACCGCTGCCTCGGGCGCCTGCTGGTCGGGGCGTCGCTGGGGCAGGCGGTCCCTGCGAAGGGGGTGGGCGTTAGCGGCCCGTCCCCCCAAAACCCCTCCTGCCTTGAGGGGTCAGAAATGACGCACCCTCGCAGGGCCTCTGAGGTGCAGGACAAAGGGAGGCGGGAGCAGCGTCCGCCATCTTAGGGCCTGACCGCGCAGCGCCGCTCACAAAATGGCCGCCACACAAAATGGCCGCCGAGCAGCGCCACAAAATGGCCGCCGGCCACCAGCGCCACAAAATGGCCGCCTGGCAAAATGGCCGCCGCAGGCGCCAAGCCTGCCACGTGGCCCTTCCTGTTGGGAGGTGCAGGCGCCCCTCAGCAAGATGGAGCCTGGAAAGGCTCCTCCGCGGAGGAGGAGGAAGAGGAGGGGACCGGCCTCCCATCAGCGGACAAAGAGGGGCCGCCCCCGCTCGGACCCTGCCCCCCAGCTTTGCTCTGACCAAAATTAGGGGCTCCCCTCAGATTTAATGTTTAACGAGGAAACAACGCCCCCCAACGGCCCGAATGGGCCATACGTCCTGCGCCTCAAGAAAAGGGCAAACCCCACGGAAATGTGAGTTTCCGCCCCAAAATGGCGATGCTCAGCACCCCGCCCCTGGACGGACGCCACGGGCTCTGCAGCCCCCCCTTCGGGGCGCAGGGAGAGGCGGGGGCGCCCCCAGACCCAAACATGGCCCCCGGGCCCTGCGGCACTCCTCAGGAGACCCCTCACGGCACCGCCCAGAATTAATGAAATTAATTACAATTAATAAGACTAAGCCACCTCCGCTATCTCGCAGTCTCCCCCACAACCCCGCCCCCGCCCTCCAAACGGGGAAATGCTGACAGGCTTCTGGAACCTTCCCTCTCCGCTTCGCGCCCCAGACACCGACCTTCCACTAAGTGGGCATCATACACAATGCAAATTGTTCCCAAATAAATTTTACGAACCTGTCAATACGCAGAACAGCAGGTTAAGACCCCACAACCGCTTTCCCTAACACCTAACTAACTATTTCCCCCGTTATCTCCTCGCCAAATGAGAAAATCAGTAAAACTTAACCATTGGAATCGCAATAAGACCCAAAAAGCGGAAAACGGGGGGCCCTGGGCGCGAACCCGCCGCAGCTTTTCCCACAGACGTGAGAAAACCGGCCTGAGCCCGAGGACAACGGCCCCGCCGTCGAGGCCAAAACCCCGTAGAACGGTCAAGCCCCCGCCTCCCGGCCCCTCCCACCGCCCGCCACGTCCCCAGGTCCCGGCCCCGCCCGCAGCCCCGATGGCTGTCCAGCCGCATCCTGGCGTCGCGGGATCGAGCCCGCCGCCCCCTCCCCGGGACAGAGCCGCCCAACAAAGCCTTTTCCCAATTAAATCGCTTCCCGACCCGCAGCCAGTGTCCTGGGTGCGAGCGATGAGGGGAGAAAAAGGGGGCGACGAACACCTCAAATTCTGTAAAAAAGAACCATTAAAATCCTGTGGGGGAAAAAACACACACAAAAAAAACCACAGGACCCTTTCACACACCCCCGCCCCCCAAAATTAGATCCTCTCACCGCGAACACTCCTGGGACCCCCCCCCCCTTCTGAACGGAGCATCGGAAACATCGATTTCCAGTTTATTAATTTCCCCTCAGCGCCCTGGACCCGCGGCCCCGCCTTTCGGACTCCTCTCTCCGCGCTCCTCTCCTCGGCCCCTGCCCGCCCCCCTCAGAGGCCCCTCATAACGGTGACGTCAGGCGCGGCCGGCCGCGGCTGCGGCCCCTCGACGCCTGAGGCGACGCCGACGCCGCGCGGCGCTCCGACACCTGCAAAGGGGGCGGCTTTCTGGGAAGGGGCCGCTCTGAGGAGAGAACAGTTAGTGAGGTGGCTCCGCACGGACTCCGAGGGGCAAACCTGCAAAAAGAAAAAAACTCCGTGGAGTCAGAAAAGCGACCCCTCGAGACGGGGGCCGCCTTACCTTTGTCGCCCGGCGGGCCTCACCTCGCTCTTCGGGGGGCTCTGGCGGGCGGCCCACTCACGCAGGCGACGCCCCAGCACAAAGCGCCCGCCGCCTCGCCCTCCGCATTGTGCTGCGGGGCAGGGGCTGCCGCGTGGCGGAGGCCACCGCGCCGGCCGCCACCGTCGAACGACCGTCCTCGTCTCCATCCTTCTCGCCACTGCGCAGCCGCTGAGCGGGGCAGCGCCTTTTAAAGGGGCGAAGGGGGGCGGCTGCGTGCAGCGCAGGGGCGGAGCCTGCGCAGAAGCCCGCCCCTGGAGCCCGCCCACTGCAGCTTGCTGCGCCTGCGCCGAACCCCCCCCCTTTTTGCACCTTGCCGCGCCTGCGCAGGACCCCACCCTCTGCCACTGCGGCACTTTGGCGAGGGGCGTTATCGGCCCACCCCCTCCGCTCTGCGCAGGCGCAGGGCTGTCCCTCCCTCCCCACTGCGGCACCGGGACGGGTGGGCGGTGGTCCCCCCCGCCTTTGGCGCCTGCGCCCCGCACGCCCCGCGCCACTGCGGCGGCGGCCATCTTTGAGGCGCTGCACAAAGGCAGAGATGCACCACCCAAAAAATCTGAGCCCCCCAGCCCGCCTTCGGACTCCTTCAACCAAAAACCCTTTATGCCCGAAGCGGCAAAACGGTTACTAACCACGGCATCGCAGCCCCGAAACCGCTAGGCATGTTCTCGCGATGCCAGAAGCCAGCGCCGCGCCCCGAGCCCCCAATCGCACACTGAGTCTCCTATTCGCGATCCCTCCACCGCGGGTGCCGAGCGATGGAGGATCCAGGAGCCAAGTACAGGCACGGGAACCCTTTCCCACGCACCAGATCACCTCGCCACGCAATCAGAACGTCCCCCTGGGGTCCCCGACATTCGGACCCTTCTCTCCAAAGTGACGTCAGCGCCAGGCGGGCGGCCATCCGTGCCCCGCAGCCACCGCCTTGGCAAACCCTGCACAGCGATTCCACCTCCGGAACCGCCATCGCGGCCCCTGCACCGCGATCCGCCTCCACGATCGCGGCCCCTGCACCGCGATTCCACCTCCAGAACCGCCAGCACGCACCCCGATTCCACCTCCGCCACCGCGATCGCGGCCCCTGCACCGCGATCCGCCGCCGCCGCCGCCACCGCCATTGCCACCGCGGCCCCTGCACCGAGCGCCTCCGCCCCGGCGCCGCCGCACCAGCCCCGCAGCCGCCACCACATCGCAATCGCCGCCGCAGCCCGGGTCCCCGCCGCCGCTCGCACCTCGGCCGCCGCGGGAGGCGTGGGCGCTCAGACCCTCCGGCCGCCGCTCTGGCCGCCCCTGGCCGCCGGGGCCATTATGACCACCCACGCTCCGCCCCCTCACGCCACCGCGGGCAGCCCACCCGCCCGCATCCCCCTCCCCTCCGGCGCCCGCCCACCCCCGCCCCCACCCCCTCTACCCTCACCCCTACCCCCATCCCGTCCCGGCCCGGCCCCAACCCCACCCGCCCTCTGCAGCCGTGGCAGGCCCCTGCCCCCACCCGCCGGGCTCCGGCCTCAAGGACAAAGGGTCGCCCCACCGGGGACCCGCCGGGAACCCCGCTTTGCCGCCGATCGGCCGGGCCGCCCTCCAAACACGCACCGCCGAGCCCGCGGCCCTCTGGTCCGAGGGGGACCCCGCGATCCCCCCTTTTCGGTCCTGGATCGCCCCCTTCCCCGCTCAGACCGCACCCCCCCCCCCGGTCCTGCCCGCCGAACGCACGGGGCCTGCAGGGGACGGCTCCCCGGGCCTCCGAGGCTGACCTGGCCCGGTCCATCGCGCCGCCGCCGCAGCTCACGCGGACACGTCCGGCATCTCCGGCCGCCGCTCCGCTCTGCGCGGGGGTTCGGCGCCGCAGAGCCCCCAGAACGCGCCAGCCGGTCCCGTCTGCGCATGCGCCCCCCTCCGCACCCCCGAACCTCCCGCAACCCCCCCCCCCCCGCCGGCCCCGCGCATGCGCGGCAACTCGCCCCCGCAGTGCCGCCTTCTTGCCGCAGCGTGGGGCGCCTGCGCCGAGAACCGGGGGGCTGGGGGTTTGGGGGTCCGCCCGGCCCCGGGGCCCCCCCGGGGTGAGAGACAATGGCGCCCCGTTTTTAAATGCATGTCCGGCGCTCAGGAAGTGATAATTCTCGCTTCCCCATCCCATAAACGTTGATCGATCCTGATGCGCCAACGCCCACCCAGATGCCGACCAGAGAAAAGCGGCGGTTTTGCCAAAAGGCCCATTTTTATTTTTATTTTTTTGAACCAAAAAGATGCAAACCAGCCATTGATGCAAACACGCGAGGTTATTTCGAACCCTGCCCCGTGGAATGCAGAACCCCAAGACCCTGCATGGTTCACATTCAGAGAGAGATTCCCCCCACCCTCTTTTTCCCACCCCCGTTTTCTACTTGAAATGGCGAAAACAAATGCCAAGACCCTCCATTCGATCCAGCTCTCCAACGCAGAGCAAATAAATCATTGCCTAGGGTATCAGGCTAGTCATTTCTTGTAAAACAACCACCACGAGAAAAATAAAAGGCGCTTAGACCCCTATATAAGCGATCTTGGAGACATTGGAATGGCCACCAGCAATCCCTAATGCCTGGATGGGGGGTGGGGGAAAGCACTTTGCTACAGCACCAATGAACCAGGAACACCACACACACACACACCCCCAAACCCCCACGCCCTCTGCGGGTGGCACGGCCCGTGGCACCCCAGAATTTTTGCATCTGCATGGTGTGGAGTCCTTTCCCAAGCCCAAGGGGAAATGCAGCTCCGGGTTCCACATCTGCATCTGTTTGCACCCCTTTCCCTTTCCCCATTGTCCGCTGATGGCCGGCGATTAAAAGGGGCTGAGCCCCTTCCCCATGCCCCTGAGCGAGTAGTTACAGACCTCACACTGGAGAGACCCCGGCGGGGCGGCCGGGGCCATTCACAGGGAAATGCTGGGGCTCCTGGGCCTCAGGGGGAGAGGGGGAAGTGAGAGAGCGCCAGGAGTGGGAGAGGGGAGACCAGCTACAAGCATCAGGAATAGGACTCCTGACCTGGGAACTAGTGGGGTGCTTCTGTCCTGGTTCGAGAAAGCACCCCCCCCACCCACCATGCCCCCGCTCTAACCCGGGGCGGGGGGAGCTCATGAAGGAATGCAGCCTTTCTTCCTTTTTCCGAGAACGCCTTATCACCAGGAAAAAATGTACAGCCCGGTGGCTGAAACCAGGGCCAGAGGCGCCTGCCCTTTGCAACCCCCAGGCCCTTATGCCTTGTGATCCGGTCCCGGGACGCCGCAGGCACCCGTCCGGCCCCGATGCCGTAACCGGTAACCTTTATCTCTGGCCTGCGTCTCCATACCTGCAATGCCTACGGCCGCACGTAATCTCTGTCCTTTCTACCCGAGATAAGCAGCCGGCGGGTCGGATGGGGAGGCGAGGGGTAGAGCTGGATTTTTTTTTTTTTTCTTTTTTGGCTGCCCTGCTGCTCTCCTGAGCTGCCGGCAGGATTGGAGCCAGCGCCCACCTAGGAACTATTCAACCCTGTGTCTGCTCAACGCCTTAAGCAGTGACCGCAGCCCAGACCCCTGGGTTTTGTCCGGGTACCCCTCCGTTTCCATCCCCGGGGCTCAGCCCTGAGCCCCAACCCTATCGTTATCTCCCCTAACGTATATGCAGGCCATAAAATAGAATATGGCCGACGTAAGGAAGGAAGGTTTAGGCTGAACCAGGGAATGGTCAATGTTGAACAGTTTTTGACAACAACAACAACAACAAAAAAGCCCCACAAAAGCCATTTCTAGTAGTTCTCACATTTCATGGGAAGTAATACAAACATGTTTAGAATAAGACACCCCCAAAATATCTTCCCCTTCCCCCCAGCCTCGTTGCCGACTGTGAGGCAATCCCCTAGGGCAGTGGTCGGCAAACTCATGAGTCCACAGAGCCAAATATCAACAGGACAGTGATTGAAATTTCTTTGGAGAGCCCAATTTTTTAAACTTAAACATCTTCTAAGGCCACTTCAAAATAGGCTCTCCCAGGCCGTGGTATTTTGTGGAAGAGCCACATTCAAGGGGCAAAAAACCCCACATGTGGTGCATTGGAAAAGAGTACAGAGTTTTGTTCCCTTCCCCTCCCCGCCAGCCCTCCTTTAAAAAAAAAAAAAAAAAAAAAAAGAGTACAGAGTTTCCTAAAAAATTAAAAATGGCCCTAACTGGTTTGGCTCAGGCCTGAGGACTGAAAGGTCCCAGGTTTGATTCCGGTCAAGGGCATGTACCTTGGTTTTGGGCACATCCCCAGTAAGGGGTGTGCAGGAGGCAGCCGATCGATGTTTCTCTCCCATCAGCATTTCTAAGTATCTCTCTCCCATCCTCTCTGTAAAAAATCAATAAAATAATTTTTAAAAAAATTAAAAATGGAACTCCCATTTGACCCAATGGTCCCACTTCTAGAAATATATCCCAAGAAATCAGAAACACCAATCAGAAAGGACATATGCACCCCTATGTTCATAGCAGCACAATTCGCCAAAGCTAAGATTTGGAAACAGCCTAAGTGCCCATCAGCAGATGAGTGGATTAAAAACTGTGGTCCATCTACACCATGGAATACTACAATCCTGTAAAAAAGAAGGAACTTTTCCCATTTGCAGCAGCATGGATGGACCTGGAGATCATTATGCTGAGCGAAATAAGCCAGTCAGAGAAAGATAAATACCGCATGATTTCACTCATTTGTGGGATATAATGAACAACATAAACTGATGGACAAAAACAGAGCCAGAGGGGAGGGGGACATATTTTAGAATATAGTAGAAATCATCCTGTTATTTGCAGATTCTTAGTATTTCTTACAACTTGTGTGCTTTGAAGTCAGTACAGTTTGGGTGACATCATTATACTTAAAATCCTTTTTTTTCCCCTTGAAATATGTTTACTGCATGTAAGTCATTAATTATATTTAAAATAAAAAAACACACTCCAGCTAAAACAGGTTTGGTTCAGTGGATAGAGCATCGGCCTGCGGGCTGAAAGGTCCCAGGTTTGATTACAGTCAAGGTCATGTACCTTGGTAGCGGGCACATCCCCAGTGGGAGGTGTGCAGGAGGCAGCTGGTCCATGTTTCTAACTCCCTATCCTTCTCCCTTCCTCTCTGTAAAAAATCAATAAAATACATATTTTAAATAAATAAATATATAAATAAAAAACCCACTCCATGGAAGGGCTGGCTCTTAGGACTGTCCCTCGTCTGACAGAGCTCTCCAGTCTGGAAACGGTGGTTTCCCAGGGAGGAAAAATGGTGTATTTCTTTGTGATTAACTGAAGTCCATCCCTCCCTAATTCCCTCCATTTCATTCTAATGTCCCCTCAAGTGTTGCCAAATGACTCACATACAGTGGTCAGCCCTCAGGTTTCTTTAGGCTCCTCTTGGTGGAGGCAATTTGGATATTTTGAAGGGGGTGGGGGGGGGGAAACTTCTCTTTTAGTTTACGCTGTGTGTGTGTGTATAAAGTAAAAGATAAAAAAAAATATGTATGTATATATTTGGTTTTGAAAGAAAAAAAAATGAGTTGGCGTATATTTGGTTTTGACCAAAACCAAAACCCATCGGAACGCCTACTTCCCGTCATAGGCAAAAATGAGCTGAACGTGAAGGAGAGGCTTAAATCGGAGATCCCGATGTCCATGTCTTAGAACACGCAGGCGCGGGTCCGTGGGACCTGGACTGGAGGTCTGGTTCCTTAGGTATCGACACCCAACGCACAAGCCAAGCAAAGCCAGCCACCCAAGGGATCGATCATCGATCGGGCTCCATCATGGTTCCTACGCAAGATCCATTGGTGAGTGGAGAAACCAATGACGGGGCGTGGCCTCTGTGTAACATGACGGATCGCCGGGCCACAGGAAGGAACGGTGTATGTACATTGGCGCTACAGAGGGAAGGCGCCCCGAGAATGTCTCGCTTAAGTGGCAGAAACACAGAAGACCCCCCTTTTGATCAAATCAACGTATAGGAGATGTTCAAAGTGGGCCAACCTCCGGAGAACAGAGAGTGGATTTGTGATGGCCGGGTGCTGGGGGAGGGACGGGTGGGGGAATGACAGACAGCCCAGGGCTCTGGGTTTACTGTATAGGATGGTGGTACGCCTGTCCAACGTCATACGTACCCTCCACGCGCCCAAAGGTGCAGTTTCTCCAGGAAGCAGATTTTAGGAGAGGCGTGCGTTCAAAACCCCACTTGAGGGGCCGTCTACACGAATCCCTGCCTGGTAACCACCCAAGCGGTCAAGGCAACAACACCGGGTAATACTGAGAGTCAACGGTCATGCGAGAAAAAAAGTGAAATTAAGACAACAAAACACTAAGACGAGATCCGAGGAACTCACCAAGTCTTCCCACCGGTGGGCAAGGAGAGACCCGAGCCGGCTGTGCGGAAGGAGACGGGGTTACCCTGGAGCAAGGAACGGACGTGATGGAGAAACCGAGGACGCCTGAAAGAAGGAGGAAGTTCCGTTAATAAGAAGGCTCCGATGTATTTATTGGTTTAGTGACTGGAAGGAATGTACCACAGTAACGCAAGGTGTCTGAGATCTATACACACGGAGTGGCCGGATTATGATGGTCTCTGAACGCACAATAGTCTGGCCACTCCGTGTAGAATGGACCACAGAGTTGGGATTTTTAAAATAAGGGTTTTCCCATGTAGAAGAACTGCATCGTGGGGGAGTTAGGAAGAAACAGAGGACTTGCTAGCCAGAGGCTGGGGGCCACTATCTCCTGGCCCACTGACCTGTTACAATTTGCAAGCTTTCCCTTATGCCAGGGGTTGGCAAATCACGGCTCGTGAAGCCACATGTGGCTCTTTGGCCCCTTGAGTGTGGCTCTTCCACAAAATGCCACGGCCTGGGCCGGTCTATGTTGAAGAAGTGGCTTAGAACAAGTTTAAGTTTTTTAAAAATTTGGCTCTCCAAAGGAATTTCAATTGTTGTGTTGTTGACATTTGGCTCGGAGGACTAATGAGTCTGCCGACCACTGCCTTATACATAACTACACAGAGTGGTCAGATTCTTATGCGTTCAGAGATCATCATAATCTGGCCAGTCAGAGTGTGTGTGTGTGTGTGTGTGTGTGTGTGTGTGTGTATGTATTGTTACGGGGAAACTCTCTGAAATAATTATGTAAATATAAACATGTCCTAAAATAAAAATAAAAAAAGTTAATTAAGAGGGGGGAATGACCAGAATAGGATTTTAAAAAATGTCCTCAGGTCACCATCCAAAGGAGAGGAAGACTGGCGGGCAGGGATGGCAGGGAGACAAGGTCCTACTGAGGGATCTCTGTACTTCTTCTTTCTGAAGAAAGCTTTCAGCCTGTTGAACTCAGAGACTGTAACAAAGAAAGAGCAGGCGAGCACGTGGCCCAGAGAAGGCTGCTGGAGAGACTCTCTCTGCCTGTCCCAACACCATACTGGGGAAGGTGAGAGGAAAGGACACCACAGACTCCACTCGCAGTATTCTCAGCTAATGGCTGACTATGACATCGAGAAACTCACAGACACCAGTGAGGGATTTCAGCCCGGCCGGCGTGGCTCCGTGGTTGAGCCTTGACCTATGAACTGGGAGGCCACAGTCTGATTCCTGGTCAGGGCACAGGCCCGGGTTGCGGGCTGGATACCCAGGATGGGGTGAGCAGGAGGCAGCTGATCCCTGATTCTCTCTCTCAATCGTGGATGTTTCTCTCTCTCCCTCCCCTCCTCTCTGAAATCAATACATATATATACACACACACACACACACATATATTATTATTATTATTATTATTATTAATAAGAAGAAGAAAAGGAAGGGTGTTTTAAACAAAAGAGTGCTCAGGTGCGTGCCCATTATTGCAGGGGGGTTTGTCCTCTCCCTTCTCTCTATCCTGCACCGAACCCTGCTGTCTCTCTACCTCGGTGGGCCCTTCCCACTCCAGCCGGCCCAGCAAGGGGCCTCCCTGCCCCTACCCCTCCGGCTGCAAAGAACAAAGAGGCCCAGGCTGAGACCCCGCATGGAGACCCAGCCCCCACACCATGACCCCCCTCCCAGCCCCCCACCGGAAGTGTGGGGACCGGCAGGGGAGGGAGGACGGGAAGGCGAGAAGAAGAATGCAGTCGCATTCCAACCAGCAGCTCTGGGGAGTCTCACCCCCCGGCCCCAGACCCCCAGAACATCCGCTCCCGGGGCGAGGCCTGCCTTAGGATGTGGTGCCGAACCCTTTTCTGCTTCTGCAGACAATGCCGGGCGACAGGGCCGGCGACGGGGCACACACACAGGATGTCAGCCCAGACACCTGGGCTGGTCTCTGGGGGGAAGGCTGGGGCGAGAAAGGAGGGAAGAGGAAGTCCCCTTTGTGTCGAGGGCAGACTTCTATTCTCGGGCCTTTTCTTACACCGGGAGACGTGGAGGCCGTGTTGATGGAAGGCGAGGGGTGAACTAGGGCGTGTGCACCGGGAAATGGCAGAGAGAAAAAGTCCTGCCCCGCCGTGAAAAAATATAAAAATATATATGTACGTATCTGCTATTCTTGGAAGATAAGGCTTTGGAGGGGGGCGAGAAAGCCTTAAACACAAAAGAAACACAAGGAACTCTCTCTCACACAGCCCAAAGGAGAGAACCCCCGGTTCACATTAACACATCCAACAAGATGGTGTGGGGTTGTGTTTGTGACTCCAGGGGGGTCCTCAGGGGTCCTCCATCCGCCCTACTATGTGCCGTTAGGATTAGGAGGACATGTGTGCATGCATTTAAGTGTATTTGTCTAAAAAAAAAATACTAAAAGGGGGCATTGGTATATGTACAAAAATAATAATTTAATAATAATAAAAAATAAAAATATAAAAAACACTAAAAAATGAAAAAGGTGTTAAAAAAAAGGCAATAAAAATGTATGTCTCTTTAACAAAAAGCATTTCAGGTAACATGAAAATAAGTGCAACGTTTCTGTGAAACAATTCCCTTGAAAATGTCATCCCAATGGGTCAGAATGAAATAGAAAAGAACCAGAAATTATAAAACAAGATGGCTGATTTGAGTCACGGTCAAAATACTAAGTTTTGTATCAACGTTATTGACAAGATCGTTTTGCGAGCCGGTGCCACGTGGGGCGCCGTATGGGAGACCATACCCCGGGGACACACAGGCCTTTTGGCGACAACGGGAAACGGTCAGAAGCAGGAATGGGGGGCCGTGCAGCTGCGGGGACGGCATGGTTGGACGCCTGCGGTCCTCGGACCCCTCGTGTTCCTGTGCGTTTGCTTAGGTGACGCACACACATTCCCTGAGTCCTGGGGGACCAGGTAAAGCCCTCCCCGCTGCTCGCAGGTGGACGTGAGCCCCAGGCCCGCCCCTCAGAGTTATTCCCCACCCCACCCCTCTCCTCAGGGGCACAAAAGGGAATCGCAGGGACGAACAGCTACTGGGGTGACAGACGTGGATCTTGTCCCGTGACCCCCACACACTCTGGCCGGCCCGGCCGGGGCTGGGGGGCGCCCACGTCGGAATGCGCCCCGCCCGCCCTCCTGTCCCGAGCTCTGCCATCATCGCAGAAAGATTTACAGCCTCATGGCCCTGGAGGCACCGCCACCCTCTCTGCAAACCTCCTCCTCCCCACCCCCTGGCCCGGCCCAGCCCGCACAGCCTGGAACCTGTAACCTTTATCCCCTGCATTCTTCCCGCAGCACGTACGCACTGGTCTTTGTCCTTCTACCAATTCATCCTGTGACCCTGGCCGCTGCACGTAGGCACATCCTCTTTGTTCTTCTACCCAGAGGAGGCAGCTCGTTTAGGGGGGAGGGAGCGGGGCAGAGCAGATTTCCTGCGGCTCTGGCTCTCCCCATCCTTCTCGCAGGACGGGAACCAAGGGTCCCCTGGGGTTCCGCCCTGCCTCTGCTGAGTGGGCTCCAGCCGCCGTGGCAGGCGGCCCGGACCCCTGGGTTGTCGGTGTACATGTTCACAGAAGACAGGGAGGCCCAGATAGGGTCAGCAGCCACCCTCAAGGTCACACGGCCCCCCCAAAGGGTTGAGCTCAGCCATCTGGCCCCCGTGGCCTCCCTGTGTGTGCCGTCATGACTGTCTACGCCGAGGGAGGATGCTCCTCGTGGTAAAGTTTTATCCTGCGAGGCGCCTGTGCAAACCCACGTACTCACGTCGGCAGCCGGATGACGCTTTGAGCAAAGGAAACCCACCCACACAGGCTCCCGGCAGCTTGAGAAACAACAACGCGCAGTCCAGGGGCAAACACGGCCCTCGTTGCGATAGTCCCAGGGGGTGTACGTGTGCAGGGGACCCAGGTCAGGGGGACCCGGTGCCCCCCAAACATGCGGAGGGGTCTGAACAGCGGATAAGTCACTCAACGTTCGCTCCTTCTCCCGTTTCACAGGCGTGAAGGGATGGGGGAAGCCAGACTCGGCTTGGGACAGAGACAAGGCACCCAGCAGACTTCTCTCTATGGCAGTCTTTCCCAAACTTCTCTCACGATGAGAATCACCTGGTGGAGTTGCTAAAGCTACAGACTCCCGAATCCCAACTAAGAGGTGCTAAACTAGAATTAGAGCACTCATTATGTAGTATACAATTTTACCCGTATGTCTCCCCCAAATTCTAGTTTAGCACCTCTTTTTTAAAAAAATATATTTTATTGATTTTTTACAGAGAGGAGGAGAGAGGGATAGAGAGCTAGAAATGTCAATGAGAGAGAAACATCAACCAGCTGCCTCCTGCACACCCCCTACTGGGGATGTGCCCGCAACCAATGTACATGCCCTTGACCAGAATCAAACCCGGGACCTTTCAGTCCGCAGACCGACGCTCTACCACTGAGCCAAACCGGTTTCGGCTAGTTTAGCACCTCTTAGTTGGGATTCGGGAGTCTGTAGCTTTAGCAACTCCACCAGGTGATTCTCATCGTGAGAGAAGTTTGGGAAACACTACTCCATGGGGACACAGCCCAGATCAGCGTTGACGGCACAAAACCGGCAACTGGGGATACACCGAGGGGCCCAGGGGAGCGGAGGGAAGGGTTCTTGATGTTTGGGATCCCGTTGCTCGATCAGCAGGGCCTGGGCCGGCACAATCATTCGTCTGAAAACAGGCCCTGAACATTCCCTCTCCCCCCCTAAAATTACTCATCTCTGTGATTCTCTGCAGTGCTGAAAATGAACTGTATACAACTACACCTGGACTGGATCATCATTCAAAGTGTGTATAGATTTTGGGGGAGACACCCCCTATATGAAATTCAAGCCCTAGCCGGTGTGGCTCAGTGGACAGGGTGTCAGCCAATGGACCAAAAGGGTCCCGGGTTCGATTCCTGTCCAGGGCATGCGCCTGGGTGGCCCAGGGCTCGGTCCAACGTGCAGGAGGCAGCCCACCAGTGACTCCTTCTCATACCCGACGTTTCCATCTCTCTCTTCCTCTCTGAAATCAACAAAAATATATATTTTTTAAAAGAAAAAAACAACACCTCAAAGCCGAAACAGGTGTGGCTCAGTGGATAGAGCGTCCGCCTGCGGACTGAAAGGTCCCAGGTTCGATTCTGGTCAAGGGCATGTATGTTACCTTGGTGGCGGGCACATTCCAGGAGCGGGTGTGCAGGAGGCAGCTGGTGGATGTTTCCAGCTCTCTATCTCTCTCTCTTCCTCTCTGTAAGAAATCAATAAAATATATTTTAAAAAGAAAAACGCTCAAGCCCCAGGAGAGAGCCGGGTGAAAAGACAAAACAAAACGGGTACAAGCTTTCAGCACAAAAGCCTTTCCCGGGCGGCGCCTGGGAGCAGCCTTCCCCTGCACCCTCAGCGGGCCCCCAGGAATGCAGGCCCGGAGAGAGCCGTGTCTGCCGAGGGCCCCCTCCCCCGTCTGGGAGCAGCGGGAGGCAGGGAGGGAGGGCAGCTCTGCTCCAGGAATCTTGGCCAGCTCCGGAAGGGGCCCTGCGCGGGGAGAAAGGAGAGAGAGGCCCTGCTCCTTCCCAGGCTCTCAGGCAGCCCGAGCCTCAGGGGGGAGAGAAAAGGAACAAAAAGCACAAAAGACATTCTTCTCTCCCCCAGCTTTTCAATGCCCTCTCGCCATGTCCGGACTCCGGGCGAGAACACCCAAGACGGACAGCGCCCGAGGCCAAATCCTACCTACCGTCTAGACATCTTTTTATTTTATCTTTGATATATTTTTTATTGAAATTAGAGAAGAAGAAGAAGAAGAAGAAGAAGAAGAAGAAGAAGAAGAAGAGAGAGAGAGAGAGAGAATGAATCATGAACCGGCTGTCTCCTGCAACCCCCCTAACTAGGGATCGAGCCCGAAAACTGGGGAATGTGCCCCGACCGGGAGTCATGGAACTGTGACCTCCTGGTTCATGGGTTGGTGGTCAACCACTGAGCCACACCGGCCGGGCCAGACTCCTTTTCCATGGTTGTGAGGGGAATCCAAAGAAAGAGGAGTTTGGGGCACCTGAAAATGGTAAATGAAATAGGCCCAAGGCTAAATAAATTTCAGTCCCACCATTAACCCCCACAATCTCCACTTCCTGGGCACTATCTCGCTACCCCCCTCTACCCTCACCGAATAATTCGCTCCTGACACTGCTGTTACCCTGTGTGTGTGTATCTGTGTGTGTTTTACACCACACAACTGGCCATGCCCCTAGTGAGGTGTCCTACAATTTGTTAAAAATCTATTTTATTGATTTTTTTTTTTACAGAGAGGAAGAGAGAGGGATAGAGAGTTAGAAACATCAATGAGAGAGAAATATCCATCAGCTGCCTCCTGCACACACACACACACACACACACACCCCAAACCTGGGATGTGCCTGAAACCAAGGTACATGCCCTTGACCGGAATAGAACCTGGGACCCTTCAGTCTGCAGGCCGACGCTCTATCCACTGAGCCACACTGGTTTCAGCAAGGTGTCCTACAACTGAACTCAACCCTGTTATCCATCAGGGTGGAGCGTCCGCTCCCACCGGATAAAGGCTCCATCCCGACAGACAGATGGCTTTCGCTTCAGATGCCAACCCCAAGTCCGAGGGCCCCCAGCTTGTCCCCAGCGTCTACCTGACATGGCCACAAACGGGAGGTCCCCCTGTGACCGCCCGCCGCTCACAGGAGCCAGGGAAACCCTGACAGGCACGCGCCCACTCATGACACTCCGGGAGCCATCCAGGAGGCCAGGGGCCGGCCAGGACGGAGGGCATGGGGTGAGGTCTGGGAGAGGAAGAGATAGAAGCATCCGTGATGAGAGAGAAGGACCCCGTACTGGAAGGGGCAGAGAGGGGAGCGTGGGGGCCTCTGCGAAGGTGGGGGACAGGAATCGAGCTCTGCTGACCTCGCTGGGTCTGTTCTGCTTAGAGAAGCGCATTCCGTCTCAGCAGCTGGCCGAGGGCGAAGCCCCCGGGACACTGGAGGGAGGAGGAATGCGGAACGGCCCCTTTTTCTGAGAAACGGCTGTCTGTCGTCAAGGAAGGACGAACAAACTTGTTGTCCAAACAACCTGGTCCAGGAGGTGCCCGCAGGCGCCTGACCGCCCGCCCGATCCCTACCCCAGCCGGCGCCGCCTGGAACCTCACCATTCCCCCGGGCATGCCTTCCCACGTCCTCTTTGTCCTTCTACCCAGATGCAAACTGGACGGGGGGTCGGGCGGGGGCAGAGCAGATGTCCGTGCCTGACCTGCCGTCCTCCCCGCCTCCGGGCATGATGGGAATCAGCCCTGGCTCTGGCTGCATTGGCTGAGAAATACCCAGGCAGCCCAGAACCCCGCGTTGTCCGGGGTCCCCTCCACGTCCATCCCATGGGCTCAGCCCTCGAGCCCGAAACCGATCGTCATCGCCCCGAAGGGTCCCTACACCAGGCCCCCCCGGCCCTATGCTCCTAAACACACGCTGCATAGCAGCTCACCGCTTCCTCCCTCACACCGAGGGGTCTGTTACCCCAAAGGCGAGTGCCAGAGCCGTGCGGCTGACCAGTCCGCCACACCCACCCAGCAGAAACCCAACTTCCAACCCACACCATCGAGTCCACAGCTCTGGGCTGGGGGAGACGCTAGTTACGAAAGAAGGGGCCCTAACCGGTTTGGGTCAGTGGATAGAGCGTCGGCCTGCGGACTGAAGGGTCCCAGGTTCGGTTCCGGTCAAGGGTGTGTATCCTGATTGCGGGCACATCCCCAATGGGGGGTGGGGGAGGGTGTGCAAGAGGCAGCTGGTCGGTGTTTCTCTCTCATCGACGTTTCTAGCTCTCTATCCCTTTCCCTTCCTCTCTGTAAAAAAACAATAAAATATATATTATTTAAAAAAAAACAACACACCTTTAAATAAAAAAATAAAAAAATAGAAGCCCCTGAGGGCACAGAGCAGGGCCCTCAGACTGGACAGGGAAATGGAGGCGAGCAGAGGGCCGCTAGGAAACGGCGGGTCCAGCAAGCACTGATGGGAACTCTGCCCGGGAGAGCAGAGCTGCGTGGTCCCCCCGCCCCCAGCGCTGAGCAGGCAGTTTCCTCGGCCTCGGCCTCGAGAAGGAGCCCGGGAGGCGCCGGAGGGGGAGGACGGGGGCTGTGGGGCCTCTTCGGGGGAGCGGGCCAGGGAGGCCGCCGGAGGGAGGAATTGGCAGGGAAACCCGACACCGGACTACCCCCTCTTTCCAGGCCCCCAGCCCGGAGGCCCCAGACAAAGGCGGCCGCCAAGAAGGGACGTGAGGAACGGCCCGCCCTCCGGGGTCTTTTCAGTCCTCGCTGGGGCCCTGGGGCCCCGTTTCCTTCGCGTGAGGCCAACCGGAGGGTCTCCTTTTCTTAGGCTCACACAAAGAGGAAGAAAAGAGACGGGCTGGGAGCGGAGTCCTGCCCTCGAAAACCGCTGAATAAAGGTTTTGTGTTTTTTTTGTTTTGTTTTTTAAAAAAAGAGAAAAATAGGGATTCTTTCCCTCGGGGATGGAGAGATGGGCACACGACCCCTGACCTCCCGCCCAGGGCTCGACGGGGAAATGCGGGTGGGACCCGGCTCTGGAGGGAGCCGGGCATGTGCTTCTCAGAGCACAAACCCGCTCCTTCTTTTTTTCTTTAAAAAAACATATTTTATTGATTTTTTTTTTCAGAGAGAGAGAGTTAGAATCATCCATCAGCTGCCTCCTGAACAGCCCCTAGTAGGTAGGTGCCCGCAACCAAGGCACATGCCCTTGACCGGAATCGAACCTGGGGCCCTCGAGTCTGCGGGCTGACGTTCTATCCACTGTGCCACACTAATCAGAGCACAAACCAACTTCTTAACACCCGGTGGGAACTCGGTGCTAACCGTGTGCGGGTGGGAGGCTCAGAGGCCCAACATGGTAGCGACAGTGGCCAGTCTCCTGAGCGTTCACATGGAGGCCATCGTCGAAAATGGGAGGAAAAGATCTGTGCGTCCAGTGGCCTTTGTCCTCTTACATAAAACAAAATATTGGGGAGGGGCGGGGGGCTAGAGATCAACCATAGACTTAGGTACATACACATTAGCATGACCGTGAACACAGAGACTGGGGCGGTGGGGGCTTGCCCTCGAGGGTGGGAGTGCAGGGGGTGGTTAATCAGGGGAAAAAAGGAGACCTGTAATATTTTAAACAATAAAAAACACACACAATATATTGGTCCATCCCACCACAGACCTTAACTTTAAAAACGGGAAGGGGGGCAGCCGAAAACGGTTTGGCTCAGTGGATAGAGTGTCGGCCAGCAGACTGAAGGGTCCCAGGTTCAATTCTGGTCAAGGGCATGTGCCTTGGCTGTGGGCACATCCCCAGGTGGAGGTGTGCAGGAGGCAGCTGATGGGTGTTTCTCTCCCACCATGGATGTTTCTAACTATCTCTCTCCCTTCCTCTCTGTAAAAAATAATAATAAAAATAATAATAATTTAAAAAAAACGGGGGCAGGGGTGGGCTGGGAAGGATACTTGGGGTAAAGGGGACACATAGAATACTTTTGACAATAGGATTTAAGAAAAAGAAAGAGCAGCACAAACTAGCAGGCACAGAACAGTCCGGGGGGTGGGGGGAGGGGGGGGAGACACGGACATGAAATGCAGCCTAGGAACTAGTCACATCATGATCACTAAGGAGGGTGCAAGATGGCACCAGGTTCATGGGGACGATCACCTTCCGCCTTCTAAGTTCTATGAATGTCCAAGGAACTCTGCCCGGGGAGAGCAGAAGCCAGAAAAGTGATCCTCCAA